TTTTTTTCATTCATTCATTCGCCAACCAACGGACCAATTGAATGCCCTCTATTCGTCATTTGTGTGTGTCTGGATGTGTATGTGGGAATCGCCTTTTTTTTTTTTTCTCAACCATTTGAACTTTTTGGTTGGAATTAGAAGGGGAATTGGTTTATTTTCCTGGCCGGAGACCGGCAAACTCAAAATCAAGTTGGAGGATGATAAAAATTTGAAAAAAATGATAGGTTTGATCAAGCGCGGCTTTCTGAAGAGCAGAAAAGAAAACTAAAATCCAAGGGTTGAAATTTTTTATGAAGGACGCTCCTTTTAAGAACATCTGAAAGCTGTACTGAACGAACTCTTTTGGCAAGAAAACAGGTATTTGGCAGAAAAAATTCGAAAAAAAAGCCTTGATTTAGAAAAAGATCGAGCTTCCCTAGCAAAATTGTTTGTTTAAATTTAAAATTTTTCAGAGAAAAAAATCGAGACAATTGAATGAACTTAGTAGTGGCTTCATGTCAATAAAAACAGAAACTCTACATTAAATTCAAAAATGATGGGATAACATTTTTCACGCTTAAAGGTGATAGCAGATAACAAGGAAAACTTCATGTTTTTGCTTTTTTTGAGGCTAATTAGCCAAAACAACAAGCTCATTAATGAGAAAAAAACAGAATTTAATTCATTATAGGGATAATAAGCCAAAATAACAATCACTACCTTCTTTATCTAGGCTACTAGCCTAGTGGAACCATTTTCAAGACGTATAAAAATGAAAATAAAAATAAATTTTTCCGTTTTTCAGGTCAAAGTAATGCGAAATGTGGGACTAGCAACGCTCCAAAAAATCAGAACGCGATTTAAAAAAGTTATAATCAATTTTAAAATTTAAATTACGCTGCGTTTTTGGCCGTTGAAAAGAAAACTTTAATATTAATATTTACAGTGAAGTTGCGCCAGACCCTGAACTCCTTTTTCTCTTATTTATTCTACGGGATGCCGCCACGCGTAAGTAGTTCTTAGTCGGGCGCTCTAGTTGAAAAAGGGTCCGCGCCGCATTAAGCCATTCCAAATGCGACAAGAACTTCATGGAAAATTGATAATGATTCAATTTTTGTATTTGCCTCACGATTTTCTCAAAAAATGACTAAAATAATGATTTTTGAACAGGTCAAAGTCAGAAAAAGTCCTTTTTTGATACAGGTGAAACTGAAAAAAATTCATTTTCTAGAGAAAAAAAGCCAGAAAACGAATAAAAAGTTCAAATTTCGAGCGGAAAACCCGACTCGAGTGGAAAATCCAAGAGTATCACAAGCGGGGCAAAGTTTAGAAACAAAGTGGACCCGGCGGAGTGCGACTGACGCGCAACACATGAGACAAATGGTTTTGCAATGCTTTTGGGAATTTTCAAAGGCCCACACTTTTGCTAACCCAAACTCGAACTTATTCAGCCTTTCCTTCTTGTTTTTCCAGTTCCAACTGGAGGAGAGATGATGGATCAGTCGAGGTTCTAATACTTGTTGATGTATCGTTTTTTTTTTCGTTCCAAAGGCTGGCTGGTTTTGATTTTATTTTTTGAAAAAGTTGTGGTTTCTGGGTCAAGTCAACCAAAAAATGGATTTTGAGTTTTCTATAGTGAAATTAGGATTCAAAAAATCGGATCTACACCGCCAAATCTCCCTGAAAATTCAGATTTTCAAGAAAGCTTATCACAAAAAATCCTATTATTTTCAAAAATTCCAGAACCGAATCGAAATTTGTGTTAAATTGGGCTCTCAAGGTTCTTCATTTGATGGATAACTTTGAAAGAATTCTAAGAAAAAAAAAAACTAACTTCCGCTTACTCGAAAGCAGCATCGGAAGTTCCAAAAGGGACAATATTATGATAACTCCGTATTGCTCATGTTACGAACCACAATTAATTGTCAAAATAATTTTGTGGGAATCATATGATAATAACTATAGGTCATAGAAGCTTCTCAAAATCAAAAAAAGCCACCAAAAATTCCAAAAAAACTCAAAATGTCCAGATTTTGCACCAAAAAATCTGATGACTTCAATTATTTTTAAAAATAAAGTATGAGTTACAGAAACCTTCTGGGATCAAAAAATCCACTAGAAAATCCGAAAAATCACAATATATATCTCCAAGAAAACGATTACCATTAAATAAATAAGTAAAAAAAAAACCAATCTGGAGTTGAGTCTCTCACTTTTGGCTCGACAGAAGGAAACCGAAAAGCTTCCAAAAAAAAGAGGTGGAAAAACAAGACCCTCTTGAAGTTTTGCTTCTTTTGCAGGGCTAACCGAATTTGAAGAGAGTATTTTCTTTTTTTCCAAGCCTCTTGTCTTTTTCAAAGTAACGTAACGTGTATTTTTTCTCGGGTTCTTTTGTTTTTTCTTCTGGCACCAGGTCGTGTTTTTCGAAAAAAGCTGGTGGGTGAAGGAGAATCTAACCTTTTTTGGTTATTTGCAAGCTTTGGAAAAATATTTTTTAAAGATATGGTTTATTCATCTTAACTTGGGACCGTCTGGCCTGTCTGCGCTCTCTTTTCTCTAACCGGCGGGGCCATAGAAACTTGGAAATAGCACTTGAAAACGAGTGGACGGAAAAGTCTGATAAAATGACTAAAAATGCTCCTTTTTCTTTGGAGAGGAGTTCAAAATTACCGGAAAAAAAAACTAAAATACATGGAAAACCGATGACGGACTGTTCTTTCAAACACCGAGAAGTAGAGAAGTGATACAAAAAGTTTTTAAAATTTATTAAAAAAACTATTCATTGTGTTCAGCCGAAATTCAATCCAAAAAAAAACCAAAAAAAAAAAAAGTTTATTCGAAAAAAAGCATTAAATCAACCTAATCTTTTTCTAAGTGACAAAAAAAAAAGAGATAAACCCGGGAAATTCCCCATGGAGCGCACATTTACACAGAGAAACAGAGACTCGCCGCCTCCCATATGGAAGTGATTTTCCGAGGCAATTTATCACCTTCTCGTACGCTTTCCTTGATTCACGACACACATTTGCACAAAATTTCAAAGATCTAAGCTTGTTTCAATTCAAACTTCTTCTTAAAGGATCATATTGGGAAAAGGAGCTTGATATTTTTGAAACAAGATTGAAAAATTGAAAAGAATCAAGAAAAAAGTACAGTTTGAAAGTTTAGGAAGAAAAATAAACTGATATATAAAAATTTAAAAATTTCATTTTTTCGGGAAAAAGGTCAAATTCTCTCCGAACATTGAATATCACTGAGAAGACGGAAAAATCCCGAATTTTTTTGTTTTTCCTTTCTTATAAAGTTATATTACTTCGAAGAAATCTCAAATTTTTCTTAAAATAACTTAAAATAATCGATGGAAAAAAAGGCGAAAATCTGCAGAGCTCGAAAAAAATTCTGAGCGATTCTCAACTCGACTCCGCCCCCTTTCGCTTCATATTTCCTTCGAAGAACGGCTTCTCACCGGCCATTAAACTGACTGAATACCTCAAATTCATCCGACAACGGAAGAAAATAATAATAAAAAAGAGAAATCTATTCAAAAAAAGGTGCCCCCGTTTTTTGCGCAGCGATTACTTTAAAACGTGCCAATGGCCCCTCGTTTTGAATCCGCCTTCTGAAGTATTGGCGCTTTTTTGTGTAAGGTTTTGATGGGCTCTCAATGGAGGGAATGTTATGGATGGAAAACGGGCCAGATTCCTCGAATTGGTTCCTGATTGACCGTTTCGAATCGGTATCGAAGAGCGATTTTCGAAAAGTTTGAAGATAGAATTTTCAAAGGCTAGAGATGATTTCAAAAATTTCGCAGAATTAAGAAAATTATGAGAAAACCATGAAAAAACATTTCAGAAATGAATTTTTTTTTTCCTGATTTTCTTCAACATTTTTCTAGTTCTATTATGATTCTGAAACCTTTTATGACCTGTAACAGGACTGCGAACGGCTCTTCGTCTTGAGGACTTTTCGATAATTAATATTTTTTTAAACGTCAAACTTTCTCCAGAAAACAACAATAATGATGATTGAAAACTCGTAACATAGAGAGATAAGAGGGCGCAGACCGGTGAGGGTATGATATGACTTTTCCAAGCTCTCATTGGAAACCAGTACCTAGCTTTAATGTAATTAAAACTTGTTTCAAGGAAAATACGGTTCAGGTCCTTATTCTTCTTAAATGTTCTAAGAAAAATATCAACAATTTCTAACCAACCTAAACGTTAAATTCAAGTTTTCTTGACTCTCCTAAATGTTTTCAAAAAAGTACCACCTAAATTCTTAAGCTTCCTGAATATTAAGGAATTTCTCAAGCTAATAAAACCCATCACTCAGTGGTGGAGAAGAAAGAGGAAAGTTTCGGGCCCAAAAAAGGGGAAATAATTCACGATCCGCCGAGACGATAACCCATAAGCACTACTCAATTATAAATTCGGCTCGCGACGGGACATCGCCGTAAATCATGCACACAACCGGACGAAACTAAACGATCTTATCCACGCTTCGAAACGCCTTTTTTCTCTTCCTTTTTTAGGCTCTTGGAGAAAAGCAGGACGAAAGGAGAGCATTTTTGGATAGTCCGCAGTAATTCATCTAAAAGTTCGTTTTTTCAAGAAGTCCCAATACTAAAAGCAGCTGTTGAAAGGAAAATTTTGAGAAGAAAAAAGAGATTTTCAAGCTTGAAAATGGTTTCAGAACATCAAAAGTTTCAGAGAAGTATGAAAATCCTCTCTAGAAGTCTCGTATGGCCCACTGCAAACGGCTCTTTGCCTTGAGGGAGGGAGGAGCAGCACTGAGAACGGCTCCTTGAGGAATTTTTGAAATTCGCTTTTTTTAAAATCTTGCCAACATTTTTAAACAAAACTCCATTCCCCGCGACTTGAGAAAGATTCCTTTTCAACCCTAAAAATAGCTTGAAAAAAATCTCAATTTCTCCAAATCATGTATTTAACCAGTAAATTCAACTATATAACATAGACATCTCGAAGAAAAAAATTTTTTTAAAACATACTTCCATTCCAAAATTAGAAGACGGCCGCGCCGCACGTGGTGACGTCACTGGGGCTGAAAAATGTATTTATACCTTATCAGAAATAAAGCCTTGATTATAAAGAACAGAAAAAGGTTAAATTCTTTCCACACACGGAACTCTTCTTTGCAGATTATTTAAGAATCATTTTTCAAATTATTTTTGAAACCCCAGTTTATCTAAAAGTCCTTGAAGGATCTCCAAGGGAGAAGCCGTTTTTAGTGCTTTTTATGTCGATGCAATGCTTCTGCACCTTTAAAAATTAAGAAATTACTTTTGGCCATGATTTTAATTTGAGAGAATCCCTTTTTTGTTTCAATTTCCTGTGCACTAACTACAGATTTGTGATATTTCAATAGAAAATGAAATCATGACGTCTTAAAAGTCGTTCCAGGTCTCTAAACGAAGATGTTTCTTTTGGCCTCTGCGACTTTAAACAGTCTGCTGGATAATTGCTTCCTTTCGTCACTTTGTGTGCTCTCATTTCAGTTTTATGATCATTTAAAGGCAAAAAAAAGGAACAAGTTGAGAAGGGAGAGCGTAATCCGACACGTATATATGGATGCGCGTCGAGAGGAGAGTTTCTAATGGACCGCAAACAATTCCGACGGAAATTGGGCACAGAAGAAATCTGAAACGTCGGCAACGGATATATCCCCCGCCAAAAAAGAGGATTTTTCGAGGAGCCGTTTCAGATGGAAACCAAGCAAAATTCCAACTTTTCAGGGAGTTTTCATTCAACAGAACAGACCGAAAGCGCCACGATTGATTTGGACTCAAAAAAAGAGGTTAAAAAAAGATGGAAGAATTCCTACGGTTAAAACTGCCATTTTTGTCACTCTGTGTTTGAAAAAACAAGTTTGGAGTAGATCCGTCAACTAGAAAAAAAAAGTTAGAAAATTTCACTAAAGGTCCTACCGTAACCCAGTGAGGGGACGGAGCCTCACAGTAACTAGCCTAAAAGTTTACCCATTATGTCTAGTAACTGTGATAATAATTTCAACTCTCAAAACAAAACTTGAAATTCTTGTACCAGCGTTTCACTGCAGTTCATCGTCTTTACCAGAGGACGTGGGGTAAAAAGAAAATGTTTGATACCAGTCAGCAGTATTTTTCGCACTAACAATCAAAAAATTTCTAAAAACTCTCAGTTCCGTCAGCCATCACATTGAGTAAAAGATTTCACAAATTCTAATCACGATCAGATAGAGATTACTGCAAAAACATTAATTTTCATTTAATAATGAATTGAAACGTATCCAGTTCTGCTGCGGAATTATCCAGAAATGAGCTTCACTCGGCGTTTTTATTTCAATACGCCAGTCGAAAAGTTCCGTAAATTATGTTGCTTAGGGTGTAAACACCAAGACGCACTATCGCAGGCTCAAAACTTTTTTTAAACTATAAAATTTGGAATATTAAGATAAGTGAAACTCACGTAATCTACTCTATTTGAAGAATATGATGTTAAAAAGAACACTCAAAAAAACTTGCTGAATCTTTACAGATGGTGTCCTTTTTCAAATCGGAAGCCCACACTCCTTTTTCACCCTTTTTGCAGTCATTTTGCAGCCATTTCCATAGTGAGAAAACGTTCAAAATAGGATATTTTTAAATTATTTGTTGGTTTGAGAAACAGCGCTTACAATCGGTTGGAAAAGGTGCAGTACTTGAAGTAGTTTATAAAAATATAAGAATGCATGTTTGAAGGAAAGTTCAATCGATCTGTATCCAATACAAAAACTTAAAACTTTCAGATTTAATCAGGAATTGAAACGTATACAATGTAATCTCGAATTTCGAAAAAATCAAATTTTGCGAAGTTTGCAGAGAAAAATCTTGCAACTTTTTCTGTAATTATGGATCGAAATTGGATGTTGGGAAAGTCGAAAAAAAAAAATTATATTAGTACACTGTAAATTTCAAATATTCCATAATTCCCAAAATCTAATTTTGATGCAACCTTCTCTCCCATAAGTTCATCAAAATTCAATTTTTCCGCGCTCTTATAAAAACCCGAATTTCAAACTTTCTTGAGGCATTGAAAAATGCAATTTTCCTTCCTTGTAACCGTCCTCCTCGCCGCTGTCACCGCCGTCGCCGCCAACCCTCAAGGGTTCACTCGACGGAACAGTTTCAAATAACTAAGTTAATCGATCCAGTAAAGTTTCATAACGCAACTATGTGTGTATATTTTCTTTTAAAAGTGAAATAGGCCTTACTATTTCAAAAACTTGTGTTTTCCGCAGTTGCGACTTCCTGGAACTTCAAAAAGGGCCCCAAGGATCATTCTCGACAATTTCCAGAAGAATTCAATGACCTTCCCTGTCAAGTCTCTTCTCACTGCACTTCCGCAAGGTGACCAATCAAAGGCTAAAATCAACACGAATCACAGTACAATTAGCCGCGCGTTTTTGACAGGTCCTGGGCCAAACAAAATCGGCTTTGACGTCCAAGTGTCAAATGCCGCACCCGTGACCCGGCTGTCCGGCTCGGCTCCTATAAAAGAGCAACCGGTTTCGCAGAATTCACCTTCTGATCTTTCTTCTCTACCTGTTGCTCTTTCGACTTTCTGGCTAGGCTTCCAGTTCTTCTTGGCTCGAATTCTAGCCTTTTGACGACGTCTAAGAGACTTCAGGAGTTCAATTCGCCTGTCTAGACGCTTCCAAAGTTTTCTGATTTGACAGAAGTCTTTCTTTTCGAACCGAAAACCTCTGACGACGCCAGGAAAACTTCTGAAGCGTTCACGATCTATTCTGACGTCTTCTGATTGATCTCAACTCAACTTCTGCCTTTGAAAATCTGAAAAAGCCTTCCGGACGACTTCAAAGCCTTCTGACAACTTCTAACGTCAAAAAAAATTCCGAATCTCTCTGGGCACTTCCGACGTCTTCTAACCCGTCAAGAAGCTCTCCAAACGATGTTCGCTTTACTGAAAACATCCCAGATGCCGCTGGACTTGAAGAAACCTTCAGATGACGTCAAGAATCCTTCTGAACCTCTGACTACCTTTCTAGAAGCTGTAGCCTATGATGAATACGCCAGATGACGTCAAATTCTTACTTATTGCACTGAAAACTCCACACGTTTTCAAAAACTGCAATGACGACTTCTGAAAAAATAATTCCGATGACGTCACGGAAACTTCTGAAGACCGTCCACTGATTCTACATCATTATTCTCAACTGCCGAGAATCCAAAAGGAAAACAAAAGAAGGTAAGAAGTCTTTTTCGTTCTCCGCATTATAGCGTGAAAACTGAAAAGATTTGTTACAGAGGATGACGTAATGAAGTAACAAATGATGACGTCACGAAAAATCGAAGAAGCCGTTCGAAAACAATTATAGCGCATGAAAGGTAGTTGAAAAACTTTGAAGACTCAAAAAACTTTGTGAATCTTCACAGGTAACGTCATTTTTCTTCCGAAAGTTGAAGTCTTCTACGAAGTCAGTAAATATGAAAAAGCTCGACGGACGAAAATTAGACCACATAAAAGGTAAGATTAATCGTTTGCAAATTTAAAAAAAAGGGAATTTTTACAGATGACTTCATCTCTTCCTCAACGACTACAGAAAGAGCAGAACATTCGAAAATGATTTTTTTTTTTTTTGAACGATTTTGTGTCATTTTTCCATAAATATTCGATGAATGAAATCCTTGTTGTTGATTTTGTTTGTTGAACTTGAACTGATGTTCAAGATTTTGGCTTTTCAAGAGAACTGGATTTCAAAACTGTTGAGCATAAAGCTTATATTAAGCTTATTCTAAAATGTTCTATAGTATTCTATACATTTCTAGTCTCATTACGTCATAGGGATCATGTGTAAAGGTTTCCCTTCTAGAAAGTTCCACAATCTTCTCATTTGTTCTCTACCTTTCTAGAAGGCTCCACATTGTTCTCAATGTTCTAATGCTTCCGGGACAGATCTCTAAAACTCTGTTCCATCTTTTCCTCTAATCTCAATACTATTTAAACTCCCCCTTAATTCTAGAACATTCCATGATCTTCGGGATCTCTTCCCTCAGCACTATATAGCCCCTTGTTTGTTATTGTAAAAAGGCTAGCATAGTCTAGTTTCTTGTTACTAATAAATCTTCTACTACAACGTCTTCACTGGCCGCCTGCGGGCACAACAAAAACGTTCTGTTAGAATTTTTGAAAAAAATTTTTTTCTAAATTTATGTTTTCGACAGAACTGTTCACCTTTTCTTCTTTGGCTCCTTCAAAAAATGCCCCTAGTGAACTTATAAAAAAATACCTGTCAATTTTCCTCCTCGATGACGTCGTCTTGGCTGGCTAAAACACAAAAATTTCTGAAAAAGTCTTCATAATAAAAAAATATTTCTTCTCAAAGAAAGGTACCATTCAAAAAAATGGAAATCGGCAAAATTTGAAAGATTTTTTTATTCAACAGTAGTTCACAGGGTTCCAAAAAAAGAATAAAAAAAGCGAGTTTGAAGAAAAAAATAAATTGAATAACCAATAAACTTCCACAGGTCACGAAGGATTTTACATTTGAATTTTATATACCAAAACATAAACTCAAAAGCCAAATAATAAGAGTTCAACGAATTCAACTGTATAGTTCAATGTCAAGAAAATGGAAAATCAAGAAAATGGATTAAAAATGGGAATTCGGTCCCAAAGTCGACTGTCTGAGGATTCTTCGCCGTGTGATGTCGACTTTGAGCTTCTTGCCGAGCAATTGCAAAGCCTTCACCTTCATTTCTTGCTCCTGAAAAGGTCAGATAAATAATAAATGGCTCGTATACTATCCTACTATCCTATAAGAAACCCCTATGAATAGAAAAACGAACAGCTTAAAGATTCCAACACAATACAGCATGGGCTAATGAAAAAGTGAAAATCAACAGCTCAAACTGTCTTGAAAATCGTTAATTTTTTCAAAGAACCCCAGAGATTATTGCAATTTCTTCTATAGGAAGTTAAAATGATGGATCAACGTGAAATTTGTTCTTTCAAAAATAGCATGAATTTTTTTCTCCTACAGAAAATATCATGTAACCTTATAATCTTTCGGTTTCCATCTTAATAAAATTTTGAAGATCTAGGACTCAATATATGAACTTTGAAACATGCTTCTCTGGATACTAGGTATAACTAATTGATCGAAGAAACATCCAAAATTTTACAAGCCTATCAACTGATCATCGTGTCAGGACCCTTTCAACTGATAATTTCCCAAAAATGAAGAGAAATCAGGACCCTCTGCTTCTTCTTGAGCAACTGTCGGCGTTCTTCTCGTCGTTTCTCTTCCTTGGCCTCTCTCGCCGCCAATTCCTCCATCTCCGTCTTTTCTCCCTGGAAATATCGTGTTGGTGTTCCTCTTCGATTCCGTTGCGAAGTTCAACAAGTAGACCCAATCAACTACATGGGAATTCAAAATAAGTCAATTTTTTGGAGGCAATTTAACAAGATATGAAAGACAAGTTGAGAAGGCTTATAACAAAAATGAATGAACATAAAGACCCAGTTCAAAAAACCTTGCAATAACGAAAATAAGAAAATTACCTGGCCACGACTGACAACCACGTAACTGCGAACTCTCTTATTGGTTCCAGTAGGCCTGGAGTACTGTAGAAGGTGCATTCGTCGCGATTCCGGCGACAGCGACATTTCCAACATCAAGATCACTTGGGCCCACTTAAGACAAAATGATCAAAAAAATTTTTTATGGTAACTCCATTTTTAAAAAAATATACTTTAGGGGAAGCCTTTTTTAGGGTTATTTTTTGAAGTTTTAGCAAAAATCAGTCTACATAGGGACATTTAAAAGGAAATTTTTTGAACGTCAAAATTGAATCGAAGTTTTTAATGTCTATGGGTCTTAAGAACTTTTTGAAAAACTTGTTTTTTTTTACCAGCCTTCCAAGTAAAATATCCATTTTTGGCTTTCTAGTAACATCTTTCCTAACTTTTTTTTGGTATTTCTATTTTCAACACCCTCTTTATCTTTGGAATAAGGTCATTCTAACAGAAATTTTTGAAAAAGTACCAGGAAAGTTTTCTTTCGACCATTTTTATTTCATTTTTTAATGAAGCTGTCCACCAAAAAGCTGTGAAAAAGTACTAGGACTGTTTTTTGACTATTTTGACTATTTTATTTTTTACCTGTCGTTTCCACTCCTTTTGCGTCAGGAAAATGGTCTCGTAAGTCCTTGTCATCATGGCGATCAGTAGATTGAACTGCAAAATTGAGACGAAAGTCTCGAAAATCAGGAACATTATCTGAAAAAAATTCAGTTGTTTTTTTAATTTCTTTTTTTATTGGAAGAACCAAGAAAGACGGAAATCTTTTTAAATTTTTTTCTTGGAAAAAAATGATAAAAAAACTATAAATCTCGCTATCGAAATGACGAGATTTTTGTGGTTCAGAGCCCATATGAAAAAAATAATAATAATTCTTTGACCCAAAAAATTCCTGTACTTCATAACAAAAAAGCAATAATTATATGATCAAGAAAAAAAGTCAAACTTTTCCCAAATTTCGCATCAAACTAGCGTCACAGGCGGCCATTTCCCTGTACAAAACCGAAAATTCGCCGATCGTCATGATAAAAGTCCGCAAAAGTGCGTCGATTGGGTTCTGCACAGTGCAAAATTAATTTGGAGCTCGAAAAAATACAGAGAAACCTCCATAATATTGGTAAACTCAGAAGCCCCGGGGTTATTTCTGTTCAAGACCTTAGCCGCTCGTTCGCAAGACGTGAAGATCACGTAGAAAGCTTCAGAAAAGATCGATTTACTCGAGAAAAAGCCGAGAATATTCACATTGAGAGAATCCGATCAGGAAAATCGAATAAATCATCGCAAATCGGACCAAATCAGTGGTGATTATAGTGTAAACCATCAAGACAAACGGTCCGACAAATGGAATTGCTCTGAAAAATCAAAGTTTTCAGTTTTTTTCAATAATTAGAAAGGGTGATTTTTTTATAATAATGAAGCAGAGATTTCATGAGATAATTCGAAATTGAGCTTTTACACAAAGAAAAAATGAAAAACGATTTTTTTTTTTCATCAATTTTTGAGGGATTATACAGAAAAAAGTTGAATTTATAACCTGCAATAATACAAAAAGTGAAGAGTAACCAGCAGAACGCTAACGATTGCCAGAGTGTTGTCGATCGTCAAGAAGTTCTGGGCAAAAAAATTATTTTCTGATTTTTTTTTTCTTCATCTATTCACCTCATGCAAGCCACAAGCCAATCTCGACGGGATCATGAGCAAAACGAAGAGAAACGAACATTTGTACATCAGTTTGGCGGGAAAGGCTTTCTGCAATTTGTTCATGTCGAAAAGTAGTTCAGACTTTTTAAGAATTCCAGAGAGGTCCCCATGAGGACTAGGAAGAAAAAAAGCCCCTATAGTGGTCCCTATATGGGTATTGACAATAAGCATCGCCCAGCATGTCCCCTATAGGGGCCCTTTTTTTGAAGGGCCACCTATAGGGGTGTTAAAGTGGTCTAAAAGGAACCCTTTAAGCGCCTCTAAGGTAGCCCCTATAGAAACCACTTCGGAGTTCCTAAGAGGTGATACGGATTTTCCGTTTGAAAAACTTGAAACGTCTATAAAAAAAAACATGATTTTACGTTCGGCTGCAAGGAAGTCAATCCATCTTCTTTTTTTTTGAAAAAAAAACTCCAAAAATGATTTTCAAAGTCACTTTTTCAATAAATTTACAATCCGGACTTGAAAATTGCAGATAAACTTCGAAGCATCGTTTTTGGAATTTATTGTTAGCAGACTTTCTCCGTGGAGCACATATTCCCGTAATTATTGGGCCGAATTTCCGAAACTTATTCTTTTGGACACTATTGCTCAGTCTAAAGCTCGAAAACACGACTGGAATAATTTTTTCAAAGTTTCAAAAGATTCTTCTCAGCGATTTCTACAGAACATTTAACGCACCAGGAACTTGAACCACTTCTGGAAGCCGATTCGTTTCACGTCGCCCATGTCAAAGACAACTTGAACAATCGTTGCGACGACCGTAAGAAGCTCGCAAGCGAGCCGCATCTGAATTTCAAAAATGTATATTTTTTCGATACGGTCATATTTTCAGAAAATGGCCTTACATAATTCAAATTGAGCCTGATTTCCGATACAATTCTTAGACTGTCCTTGGACAGCGGGGATATTTTTTTATTCTTACAAAGTTTTCATTTCAGTTTGGAAATTTCGATAGATCGCTCAAACACTCTCTGATGGCCTAGGCAAAGATTCTTCGTATTCGCCAAAATTGAGGTTTTTGAGATATGAATTTCGAGAAGTATTTTATTTTTTCAAGATCTGGAGAAACTTTTGAATATTTTCTACGTAAAAAAGGCATTTATGAAGTTCGAAAGCAAGTCTGTTCAGATTTTGAATATCAAGTCGTCGCTCAAGCTCCGCCCCTAATGGTATGATAAATCAATCAGAGGTCATCCACGGAGCGTGACGTCATTTTATTCGACATTCAAAATCAGAACAGACTATATAGTCCGTCCTCCGCAAATTGACAGTTTCCGACTGTCTGCGTCTCTCTGTTCCCTCAGGTCAGAGAAACATGGGAATAACACGTAAACATGAGAGAGACGTCGAGAGATAAGGAGGGCGCAGAGAAGTCCCGCCCTTACAAGTCACGAAAAACGGACTATAACACATTTTACGAGAAAAGCGTTGAAATTTTCAAAATTACCCATCCATAGTACCAGGGCCATTCGCCATAAGACATCAGATGACATTGAGTATCGGCTGTGTCTGAAACGATCCCAATAAACCCCATTTTCAAGAAAATCTCATGATTACTCCAATTGACAGTGTAGTTCTTGGGCGTGTCTTCGGTGTAGCCATAGGCCGGGTCGCCCATTTCAGTGATGAGTCCGTGAGTAATGTGCTGAAAATGGATGACGTGCGCAGGAAGTTTTGAAAGATCACATTGAACTTCTCAAAATAATTATGGGGGCGATAATTGGATCATATTGTCTGGTTGTTATTTATTGTTTTCTGGGCCGAATATTGCGTCTACATGGAAAAAAGCTTAAAGAATTCCAAAAAAGAACGAAAAAGCTTTTTTTAAAATAACTTTTCTTCGCATTTTTTTCCACGTCAAAAAACTTTTTCTCCATTTTAACCAATTTTTCACTCCAATTTTCATGCCTTTTAAACTTTTCAATAAAGTTGTGAATCTAAAATTTGTTACTATCAAAATCTAGAAAATTCAGACACTTCTTTTCAAGCTATAATTTTTGCCATTTGTTCCAAAACTCCGCAACTTGTTTCTAGAACCTCTTTAAAAATCTATAAATACCCGGATTTCTACTCTTCAGTCCCCCGGAATTCCCACACTTCTTTGCGCTCTGCAGCTTCTTGTGCGGCACAAGTGCCATTTTTCAATCTTTCTACTTTGAAACTTCAAATCTTTACTTCCGTCGTAGCCGAAGACGGGCGAAGCATGTAGGCGGCGGTGAAGGAAACGTAGTAGAACATGAACCCCAACAGCGACCGTAACCATCTTCAATTTTCCTTTCAAAACTTTCCTTTTTTCCGAAAGAAGCGCAAAATGAACTTTCTGAACTCCCTCAGTCATTAAGGCCGTCGAATTAGCTGAAAACCCCATGATTCTTTCCAATTTTCATGTCGAAACTCACATTTTTCCTCCAAAAAAGTGAAAAAATAATGTTTTTCACAGGGATCTGAACCTGTGGGACTTTTGAATTAGGCTTACTTAAATTAGGCATTTTTTCACACAAAAATACGTTAAAAAGTTTTTTTAATCATTGAGCCTTTGAATATGGCGGACTAAAAAAAATGATTTTTTCACTGCTTTCGTGTCAAAATCCTAATTTTATTATTTTTTTTTCTCTTTTTTTTACAGAAAACGTGCGAAAATAAATGCTCTCGATCTTTCTAAACCTTAGCTTTTTTCTGGATAAGACCACAACATTTTTTCACAAAAATATTCAGATAAAATATTATTTTTCCACTGCTTTTTTTTTCTAAACTTCAACTGACAAATTTTTTCCATACGATGCCCATTTCTCGTCTAGAATCTTCTCAATGAGACCGTCCATCAGCTCCAAATGCTCGTTGGTTTCCTGAAATTTTTTCAATTTCATCAGGAGCCAAGGTAACGGGAATGCAGACCTCACTGGGAGCTCAAAAAAGTCTTATTTAAGTTAAGAAAATTTTCAAGTTAGAAAACCAAGGTAACCAGATCGTCTAGAGCAATTTCAACAAACCCCACTGTACATTAGACGAGTTATTTCTGATCTCCTCACTCTCCAAAAAATTGTTTCTGGTCATGATCACTTTCCTCAATTCGAAAATTTTGCCCTCAGATCCAATTTAAGGCGAAATCCACTTCGGCTACGTTCTCAAGGTCAGTTTTCTAACAACTTTTTTTTCAAAACGATTCCTATTTGGAATAAACTTACATCCAAATATCAGTTCACACTTCCACCTAATTCTTTGAAAAAATTATTGGTCGTTTTACCTCGCAACGAATTTTTTACCTCTATTCCACCAAGACTTTACTGATCTCAATTTTTTGTTTTTTACTTCAACTTTTTTTCTTTCCTCATTTAAATTGTAGATCGAAGTGAACTCGTTGGGGTTCACACTGATCTGTGAATAAATTATTATTATTAACCAGTGAATGTGTCAGTACGTATTGAAATCAGAGAATCGAAGAATATTTTTTTTACGTGAAACCTCTATTAGGAACCAAGGAAACCGAAGTGCAGATTTCTTACGAATTAAAAGTGGAAAAAGTTCGAAAAAAAAAAACCAAATTTTCTCGACTGTTTTTAAAAAGGTTTTTTTAATATTTATTTTTTTGTTATTTTTCGAGCCAAAACTTGTTAAGCAAACTCCGCAGAGTTTCAGATTCGATTCCATTTTACAAAACTGGTAGATTAAAAAGCCAAACTGAAAGGAACTTTACAAATTTCAGAGGTTGAAGCTTCAAAAAAGCCGAATTTTGGGCTCTTTCTTCCTCATTTTGTTGACTCTCATTTCAAAACACACTCCTAACGCCCAAATTTCTACGTAAAATGAACTTTACACGTCCAGTTTTTTTTTTCTTAATCTGAAGCCATGAAAAAGGCAGGTATTCATGGCATTGATGAGCAAACTATGTCTGGAACTTCAAATTTTTTTTTTCAAATTATCAATCTTCCTTGTAAAGCTCAAAAATTGTACCTTAGAACTTTGAAGTGTACCCTTAGGGGTATCTGAAAGCTCGCCAGAAGCAACTATTCAGTAAAAGCCTTTTTTTTCAATTCCGATTCAGTCTTCTCAGAAACTTCAAAGTAGTCAAATGAGAGACGCTGATTTCCGAATTCCCAACGATGAAAAAATGTTTTGACCTAACTTTTTCGCATGCTGCAATGGCAACGATGTAAATAATTTTCTTTTACTTCCGTCTTTTTCATTTTCAGCTCTCAAAATATTCAAGTGAGCTAACTATTTTTTTCGGTCTTTGAATTTTTTCTAGGAGTTTTCTCTCTGAATTCATTCTGCTGTGATAAACTTTCAAATGAAGTGTCCATAGCCTTAAAAAGGTTCAAATAGGTTATAAAAACCCCATAAACGACGAGAGACAAGGCGCTCTGCTCGTTCATCTCCCCGCTAAGTTCATCGATCGTGTCGATCTTGGTCAGCGGATAAGCAATGCATCTGGAGCCGCCGTAGGTCCACACTTTCTCGCATTCCAGCTGCAGGATCTTGTCGAACATCTGAATAATTTCTTCTCCCGCACCAGGAAAGTCTTCTCACCACTTTGGACTCTAGAATTAACTGAAATACTCTTTGATAACTTTCAGGGTTCACAAAATACCCATCAATGTCAAAACCGACTCATAAACAGTTGCCGGGCCACTCTGAATATTTGAGTTTGAACTCCTCGAAAAAAATAGATAATTTTTCAATTTGAACCTTTCAAAGTATTCGTCTAATAGACTGGATATTGCTTGATTAAATCTTCAGAAAACTCTAGAGTCTCTTGTAAAATGACTTCCCCAAGTCTCTTACAGTCTTCTTTGCGAGTCTGGCCGCCAAGGTCAAAGGAGTCAAGTTCTGTTTGTTGGCAATCTTCAAATTGGCTCCGAATTCGAGGCAGGCGTCCAGCATGTCCTTAAAACTTCCTTCTTTTCATAACTTTAAACTTTTTTTCAGTCTTCAAAGAGATTCTCTGCTGAATTGAAAAATGACATGGGTACTTTGATTAGTCTCACAGGGAAGGTTCTTTTACTTTGCGATTGGGAATTTCAACTTTGGATGTACCATATTAAGAGCCTGAAAGTCTCAACTTGCACAACTTCCTATTTTATGACAAAAAAAGGCCACAAAACCTAAAAAATGGTTTAATTTAACGAATTTTGAAGTTTCCTCTCTCAAAAACTGAAAAGTTGTGCAGCAGTGGCTTTCAGGAATATCAATAAGTGCTCTGGATGACTTTTAGGACCTACATTGTCAGGAATTCAAGAAAATATTCTCTAAGCTGTCTCAAAAATTAGCAGCCTAGGACGTCAGATCCCTCAACGCGCGAGTCGTTTCAGGTCGGGTGCGTTTCAAGGCATCTTTTACGTGCTTCAGAAGCATGACGAAAAGATTATAAAAGTTTGGTCTTTTAACCTTTTCAAAATCACCACCAAGACCTAATTTTCATAGAAGCGTCTATTTTTTCACATCATTTCCGCTCTGATGCTAATCATGAACCTAACGATGACAACGAAAACTAAACGTTCCTGAGTTATTTAGTGATCCCTTAATTGTAAACTGGACGTTCCTGAGTCCTTTAATGATCGTTTAAGCGTGGACTGGACATTCCTGCGTCATTTAGTAGTCTCTTAAGTATAAATTGGACGTTTCTGAGTCATTTAGTGGTCTTTAAAGCGTAAACTAGACGTTCCTGAGTCCTTTAATGATCCTTTAAGGGTGAATTGAACATTCTTGAGTCGTTTAGTGATCCCTTAAGTGCGCCTAAGAAGCAAACGTTATCCATAGATTTTGCTCAGAAACGTCCAGCTTACATAACCAGTGCTTGAGAAGGTTTTTCAAACCGTTCCATGACCCAAAAATTACCGAATTTTCGTGGATCACACAGAGATGAAGGACAGTGTTGCCATTGGTGTCCTGGGCGTTGAGATTCGCTTTTTTGGCCATCAACATTCGGAACATGTCCATATGGTTCATGCAGACGGCGAAAGATAGTGGATATTCGCCAAAGTACATTGATCTGAAGGTTTTGTCCATTCATCTCTGACTCGAAGCAGTCTGATTTCTCTAGCGCTTTCTTCCCTCTTCCTGTTCCTATCATCTCGCCGAAGAGGGAAAAGAGGGCGCAGACTGGTCAGACACTATTCACGATGCGCATTTAATTAAAAAATCAAATGACTTAAATTTTCATGACCTTTTTTTGTTATTTTTTTCTACTAGATCACCATACCCAGTATAACTAGTCCTTGGGCTCAGTTCGACATATTCGTGCTCCAAACTGTCCGTCCGACTTGCTTTCTGGTCCTCGGCACAGAAAAATGCTCCGTAGCACCTGAAAGTTTTTGAAGAACTTTTTTGATATCTTTCCAGTTTCATCGAAAACTCAAATAAATTCATAAGGGTTGATTTTCATTAGGCGTAAAATGTTTTCCTTGTTAGAGTTGATTAGTTTTTGCGTGCAAATAAAATGCGTCCAACTTTGTTATTTGTTATTTTTCAAACATCATCCCTATGTTCACTTGTTTATCTGAAAATAGTCTCAAAACTCTTGAGACAAGACGCCTCATTTTTGACATGTCTCTTGTTTATAAAATTGTACTTAGAGAAGTCCCCATTGATTTCGATAGTCTCTTACTTTTCCCCCGTGTCCGTGCGCTGCGTCGCCATCGTTATTATTTACGTTCAAATATAAGACATAATAGTAACATCGTTGCCTCGTTTTTTAGTATCAGAATAATTAATGTTTGGAACTCCCTTCCCGATGTTGTGTTTGATCTATGTAATGATTCTATGCGATTCAAAATATATTTAGAAAACAACCCCCATCTTCTCGTTGACTTTCTTAAAATATCTTCTAATTTTTAAACGGTTTGTTGCTGTTTTCAATGTTTAAATTTCCCTTTCTGAAGATTGGTTCTGTTAGAGGTCTTTTCGGCTCTTGAACTGTATTATTATTCTTATCGAATAAATGATGATGGTATGTTATTTTTATATTAAAAAAAGTCATCCTGTTCCAAAAGACGTATTATTGCCATACATGGGCAGACCATTTTTAAGTCCGTTGACCCCTCCTCCCGAGTCTTCCGAAATTGAAGCAAATACTACCTCCTTAAGTTAAAAAAATTAATTTTACTTATGTCATTACTACCTCCCTGGCTTAAAAAAATTATTTTTTTATACCTAATTTTTTTCAACTTTTTTTGTAAGTCGACCCCTCCTCCCGTACGGATTGAGTTCTTTACTTGCACAAGTATAATTATTGCTGACATTCTCACAATTCACAAAATCTGATCATTTTCCTTCCATTGCTCCCTTTGTCATACGAACCAACTCTTCACGAAATCCACTTCGGCTGCGGACTCAAGGTCAGTTTTATAACAACTTTTTTTCAAACATTGATCATATTTGGAATAAAGTCACATCTGACTAGGAAACTACTCGGACTCGGGTACGCGTTTCGAGTTGAAACTTTGGTGGCTTATAGACCCGGGTAAGATTACTTGGAAACGAGAGAGATTATCTTCTAAACTCCATAGGTTTCTAAGAAAAAGCTTTTTGAAAACAGTTTAAACTTGATTATGATCAATATTTTGCTTTCCTCCTTCTTTTGGCTGGAAAAAAGTTTTTTAGAGTTTATCATAGCCGGATCCTATGAGTGAATTATTTTTTTAAGTACTGGTATTTGGTCAAAGTGTACTCGTTAGGGTGCACACGGACCTTCTCATTTTTTCTTGTGGCCTCGTGTACAATAAATATTATAACCGCTCTCCCTAAAGAATTATCAAAAATGTTTTGAAAGAGAAAAAAATTAGGCCCCGCAAGAACTATCTCGGCATAAAATGCCTTAAACGTACTAGAAGCTTTCCGACCGGGTTTCGATGTCTCAACGCGCGAAAGTCGTTTCAAGTCGGGCGAAAACTCACGCAAGCGCTTTACCATCCAGCGTTCCTACTTGCGGCAATTAAATATCAAGCTTTTAGGCCTAGGCCTAACCTTATTTTGAAAAAAGACGGCAATAAGAAAAACTTGAAAAAACATTTTCCATCTCCTACTTTCTCAGTATCTGGAACCTTCAATTTTGAGAAATGAACTAGATTTTTTTTCTCTGCTAAATTCTCCCATTTTCCTTCATTTTCTCGAACATATACCTCTGATTAACTTCAGCGCCTTTTCTAAGTAAATGACTGGCGAATTCGGCGTCCTGGTTGACAATAGCCACGTGTAGGGGTGATAATCCTAATAAAATCACAATAAAGTTTCGGAAAAATGATTTTTTCTGAACCATAATAATCCTCCGAGGTGCAAATATCGTTGACGAGCTTCGGAAAAGCGGCGATAAGACGGCGACCGATGTAATTGTGCATTTCGGAGCCTTGCAGTAGGCAAATACAGAGCAAATTCTCGCCCATTGTGCCTAGAAAAATGTTTATTTCATCCCAAAAATAAATTTCACAGCGATAGGAAAAACCAGAAGACTCCTCTTTTAACTAAAAATTTCTAGAAGCGACTCTAGAAGGTGTTATTTAAGGGGCTATCGGCGTAAAATAAAAAGGAGAGCTTGATATTTTTGCTCAATTTGACAATAACTCATCATTTCCCTCCAAAATATTGCTTCAGAAAAAAATTTTTGAGATAGAATTTTCTTTAATTTTTGACTAATAAAAAAACCGTGGAAGTAGTTGAAGTGGCCATTTAAGGGATGAAGAGCGTACCTCAAGGGACCACTCCATTGTTCTCAGTTTCGAGAAAAATTATTCTTTTCTCTACGATATAGTGATTTCAAAAAGATGTTTAGAATTGGAACTTCTCCGATTTTTCCGAAAGTGGTCATTTTATGGACTATCGCCGTAAAACGAGCTCAAAAAAGAGCGCACCTCAAGGGAGCACTTGAAATTTTTTTGTCAATTTCGAGAACAATTTTTTTCATTTTTTTCTCCGCTATCGTACTTTCAAAAAAATATAGAAATATAACTTCTTCGATTTTTGCAAAAAACTCCATCAAACCTTTTTTTCTGAACCTTAACCAACCAATTGTCCATGCTCATTTTCCTCAAAGACCTGTTTACAAATTCATTCTCGTCCATTATTTATTTACTTTTCCACTTATCTCCAAGCTTGGACAAATGATATTGGATACCTTCCAGACGAGTAGGAAGTTACTTTTTTTTCGTCTAGAGCGGAAACGGTTTCGAAATCGACTTTCCATATTTATTCGCTCATCTTTTTTTGATCGAACAATTTGAACTTATTTATTGAGATTTTCATAGAACAATTGAAAGCTTGGCTTCTAAAAAAAACTCTGTAAACCCGGAGAAAACCAGAGAGGCTATAAAAAGTTTCAAAAAAGGAAAATTTTCTATTGAACAAAATTAATCAATTTTCTCACTACATCTTCAGCTTTTAAATTTCTTGAAAAATAAAAAATGCACTGAAATATTACACAAAATTCGAAATTTCTCGAAAAATTAACCTTGGAGCGCAGAAGCTCGGTTTCTATGAGCTATTTTTATTCCCGTCTTTTAAAATTTTCTTATTTTTCATACCAACACATTTTTAAAATTATCCTCTTCATTTTTTTGAAGTTGAACATTACTTTTATGAAAAAAATTTTCAATGGAGCATAAAAGCTCGGCTTTAGAAGGCTATTTTTCGCCTTCTTTCATCTTTCTTTGCTGTTTCAAACTTTGTATTTTTTGAAAGAGAATGATTTTTTTAATTCAACTTGAGTAAAATTTCTTTTTCTCAATAAAACTCGTTATACAGAGTTATGAACGAAATTTGGCTAACTAATATATTTTTAACGTTTTTCAGCGTTTCTATCCTTACCCCTTTCATCGAGCTTCCAGCAGATCTCCCTGTACTTGGACTCGGATTTTCCGCCTTTACCACCCCCATCAAGAAGTTTCAGTGCTGGAAATCCCACCTTTTTCGTCTCAACTCTCCTGAAAAAAACGAACCTTTCTTCAAATCGCCGGCGTTTCCGGCCTGCTCCTCGCCCAAATTGTCCAAAATGTTCGGCCCACTTTTTCCTTTGCCTTTTTTTCGTGAGAAAGCGCTCAATTTCGCGTTTCGCTCCTGGATTACGGCTATTATTTTGAATTGTCGAAGATGAAAATTTTACAGAACTATTTTCTTTTCTTAATTTGTAAAAAAATACCTATCTAAAAAAACATATTATTTCAACCTTCAACTCCAAAAATTTCATTGAGAAAAACGCAAAAAAAATATAATTTAATTAAAATTTCTTCAAATCTTCATCTATTTCCTCAAGAATTTCAGTTCAAATATTATTCTAAACATTTTTTTGCAGTTCAGGACAATTTTTGGTTTCTTATGCAATGAAAATTGATGTATATCAGAGAACATCTTTCTAAATTTCATTAAGAAAAGAATGATTTCGAGAACTTCAAAGCTTCTTTTTTTTCATGTGATTCCCAATTTGGACTCGTTCAGAAATTATTGTGCATCCAATCCTGTCAAACTCAATTTTCTCTTTTTTCCTCATTTCTGTTCTGAATCCTTTGGATCCGCCATGTTTCAGCAAGCTCCTAAATAGCTGATGATTTTAGTCACATTCACTTCAATGAAATTTTTCATGCATTTTTTTTTTCTTTTGAAACAAATCCTTGTGCCCGAACGTCTCAAATATTTTCTAGAATATCCTTCAAAAGGAACGCGTGTCACATTTCAAACATCAAGCATTCTGGCCTTTCCACTTTTAAAACTTTTGACAAAATGATAGTCAAAAGAGGTGAAGCTTTCATGGGCAAAGCCCAAAATGACTCAAAAAAGAAGTTTTGAAAAAAGGATCTTCAAAATACTTTTTCAGCGACATTTTCATTATTTTTGTTGAAGATTTTGAAAAATGAACAAAATCGAAATTAAGGAGGTGAAGAAAGTAATCAAATTACCTTTTCTTCAATTTTTTTTTTGTAGTTTTGAAGGTTCCTAACTAAAAGAGGGGCCTGTTCCAAAATATTTCACTTGTTCGGGAGTCCTAAAGTCCTAAAGTGCACAGCTAAAGGTTCCAATAACGTTTCTCCCGTTTTTTTGTAGTTTGTGGACTTTAAAAAGTCGAAAATAGTGAACAAGATCTGTCGCAAAAAATCGCTTTTCTTGTTTCGGAATCAGGAGTTTCAAAGTACAATTTAGCAAAGTTTAATCATCCAGGGACTGGAAAAACATTTTTGCTAGAAGAAACATAAAAAGATAAATTTTTGTTCTCTACAGTCATCTTCCTATTTTTCCCTTCACCTCATTCCGAAGCTTGACCAGCTCGGCCACGGGCATCAGTTTGCCTTTTCCGGCATTGTACAAGAACGGCTTGCATTCGCGTTCGATGTAGGCGTCCAGCATTGCGACGTCTCCAATCTCTTTGCACTGTCTTCAAATTTTTCTGCTTTAATAAATTGTTCAAACTTCGGTCTAAAGGTTCTACAATTTTTGAATCTGTAACCTCAACTATTTTCATCATCTCAAAAATCTAGTATTTTTCAAGTAACTTACTTCTTGTAATTCTTACTTAAAACTAGAAAAATTAATTCTTGAATTGATTTTTTTTCTCTCTGAATCATATCTGACTCACAAGTGTAACATCTGAAAAAGGTAAGAAAATGTTTGCAGAATTATAATTCCTTCTCTTCCGTATGGCTACACTTCTCCTAGTATAATCCAACCGTAAAGAGACTTTTCTTGGAAAATTTTAGAGCCTTGACCTTATTAATTCTAGGAATCGTTGTCTGATGAAATATACATGGAAAAATTGAGAGAGAAACACTTTTACTTTCCCTATCTGAAGCTCTTTTAAAACTAAATGGTCATCCTATTTTCTTATATGTTTATGTGTTCTAACATGATTATTTTTTTCATACTCCCAGGGTCACAATGAGTCGAATGAGAGAGGAAATTTCATGCCCGCCGGGGGGCTCTTGACCTAGTACAGCTCAAGGGTTTGAAAAATCGTCATTTTTCAAGTTTTTTCAATTTTTTAAGCTGGAAGAAATTTTTTCGGAGTAACTTTCAACACTAAAAATGATCGAAAGAACATTTTTTCTACGTAGAAACTTTTTCGAACCAATTTGCTCCACTAGGAAAAAAGTAAGCTTTTCGGTATTTTGCCTACCATAAGCCCGAAAGTGGGCGGAGCTTCTAAAAAACCGGCGGTTTGAGTTAAGAATGTTGTCCAGTATCTGGGACATCGATACCAGGCTCCAGAAATGAAACTTGAAATTTTAGTACGAAGAGATTTTCGGAAATCTCAGATAACGTGTGTTAAAGTGACAAATTTTAACATGATTAGGCAGAAAAACTGGTTTATAGAAAACACTTCAAAACGAGAGAATTTATCAAAAAAAAGCCATGGACCAGTTTCCCGAAATTTCTTCTTCTCCCCCTTCGGTCCCTCACAGAGGGAGGGGGTAAATTAACTTTTTGGTTGGAAACTTCCTGAGAACTGGCCAGAACACTCCTATAAAAACAAAAAGATTCTGAAGTCTAAATCTGCACAACTTCCTAGTTTTGGTCAAGGAAAAGCTTCAAAGTTCGTCAAAAGGACCATTTTCGAGGTTTTAGCCCTTATTCCTTAAAAAATAAGAAGTTTTGCATGTTAGGATGTTCAGGACCTTAATTTGGTACTTCAAGAAGCGTTCTGGCCAATTTTTAAAAGGTTCCCGAAAGCAAAGTGAAATGACCTCTTTGCCAGATCTTCTTGAAGAAACATCAAATATTTAGTTTCTTCATTCTATCCCAATCACCTAGCCAATCGCATCAGAGTCCCCCCGCCGTGCATGTCGACCATCCGATAAACGCCCATCTCCTTGGCCTTGGGTCCGTCTCCACAGTTCTCAGCTCCGGGAACGCCTTTCGTAGTTCGGACCTCTTCCATCGGAGGCGGATCCGTGTTTGGGGGCTTGGACTTTTTCGCTCCCATCTTTGACTGAAATCTCTTTTTTTCGAGGGAAATATGATTTGAAGAAAAGCTCGGCTTGTTGAAACCCGAGAAAAGTCGGTTGCAAAACCTGTGCTTAATTCAAAAAGCTAGTAGATGGAGATCAGCGCGGGTTACTGTAAAACCTCTCCTTTTTTTCCAAACTTTCTGCTCGGAAATTTGTTATAGAAGAGGGGAGATGTCAAGTAGATCTATACGAAGAAAATGTAAATTTTAATCAAGAATCTAGTCAGGGCGCGCCGTAGCGCAACAGGTTGTGTGCCTGTCTACGGTCCACAGGGTCACAAGTTCGATCCCCGACCCAACCAAGGGGTTTAAGAAATGTTGGTATTGGGAAACCACGGCTTCATAATTCCTAGCCGTCATACACAAGGACGGATATGTCACGGGAGCCAGTCCACTGATTATCATCAGGATAGGACCTCGGCTAATCGACTCGGGGCGCCGACGCCGCTCTAGCGGTACAAAGGCGTAAGAAGAAGAAGAAGAATCAAGAATCTAGTCCAGATTTCATAACTATTAAGCGGAACCCACGTTCAGTCGGCTTCAAAGGTGGAATTTGAGTTTTTTATTAAAAATGTTTGATGGTTCACTCAATTAAGTTGGTATGAACTGGATTTTGAAATAAAAATATATGAAATTTTAGAGGCCAAAAAAAGTGCCAAGATTCATGAAATTAATTTTTCGTCAGCATTACGCAAAAGGAAATGACGATTTTTTTTTCTTATAGGTTTGTTGAATTTTCCCACATAATGGCAACAACTGCATGAACTTCTCACGATCTTTGCTAGTTAATGGGAAGAATTTTCAGAACTTGATGATTTTTGAACGGATTGGAATGATTCCAGTTTCATCTTCCTCTCGATTTTTTAAAAATTATCGAACAAAATGGATTCATAAAATCTGTAACTTGATTTTTTTAAAAATTAAAACGTTGAAAACTATAACTTCCTTACGGATCAGTGAAGATCTTTGAACTTTTAAGACAGTTTCAAAGGATTTTAGGTCAATTCGAAACCTATAGGCTTTAAGAAAAACTTCAAAATGAATATTCAGTAAGAGAAGCTAAATCGAAACCAAAAGATGTGAAACGGAGAAATGAGAATCTATCGGCCCATACACATTTTGTAGCCCCTTCTCTTTGTCTCGATAACAACGGGTACAAATTTTTTCCAGCTTCTCCTTCTCTTTGGTATCTAATCCCTCAATCCGACAATTTTATAGTCACTTCGAGGTAAAGAGCAGCAACTGGCTTCGAAAAACCGAATAATCTACAGACAATATTTTTTTAAAAAAATCATTTTTTCCTAAAAAAATCACAAAAAAACCAAATAATTCTTCAAAAGAAAATGAAGCTCATTTTTTTCTTGGTATTTTTTTAAAAATTCAGTCCATTTTTACTATTTCTTTCACGAGCGTAACAAACACGATTCCTCAAAATACTCGTTCAACATCAAAACTAAAAATTAAAGAAACTGATTTTAGAAAACTTGAAAAAAACCAGCTCGTCTGAAAAAAAAAGAAACCTGGCTGGTTCTCTGTACCGCAGTAAAATTTTGAACGGATTTTTTTTTTTGATTTCATTCTATTTCCCTTCTTTTTGGGTTAATAATTCGCCAATTACAACTTTCGATAAATTATTATATTTAACTGTAACTCATAATTGACTAATTATGTCTTCTCAACAACAACTTTGACAAAAATGAAGACTTCCGCTTTACAAATAAACGTGATGAATGAAATTGGAAAGAAACATTTTTTTGTGCTTTTTTTCATTTTTTTCTTCACAATCAATACTTTCATTTTTTTTTTTTTTTCTTGAAACTTAAATCAATTAAAACCTTTTTTTTCGATTCCAAATCAGCTCCAAAGTCTTTTTTTAAACCTTTCTTCCCACTCAAATAACATAACAAAATTCTGGAAGTCACGTCGAAATGTCTTACTTCCACGATTTTAATTCACTTCCTCTGCTCCCAAATTAGAAATTGGAAAGAATTGGTTTGGAAAAACAAAGGGTTCATTAGGAAAAAGAAACAAATTTGGTTGTTTTTTGCTCTTGAGAAGAATAGAAACGCAAAACCCAAATTCTAATTCCTAAATGAACCTTTTTTAGCTTCCGGAAGTCTCTAGTTTGATTTGGGACTCATCCAAATACTCGTTGGGAAACCTCAAACTGGGCAAACTAGCTCAATTTCTCTTTTGTGGACTCGAAACAGCTGAAAATCCGATTCCGAGTTCTAAAAGAGCAATATTTCCGTTTGATAAAGAATCTAGTTTGATCCTTGCTCTATGGGAATCTTTGAACTTCCGCTTCTTATAGGGTTTCTGGAGATTTGGGGCTTCTCAAAGTTGAAAAATATATCTAACTGTATAGCTCTTTTAGAGAAAAAAATATATAATAACTGATTTTTTTAAAAATGTTGCTGCTCAATCTACTTTCTCACCTTCAAAAACGGGAGTATTTTCGCAAAAAAAAAATCTGGGAAAATAATATTTTTTTCCATCCCTTCATTAGTATATATTCCAAAACACATGAGAACAAAAAAATCATTAGGATTAGTTTTTTTTTTCTCAACAAGAATCACAATGGGTGTCGGAATCATTCAAATATTCCTAGCTTCACAATTTGTGAACAATATATTATTTATTAGTCCCGCAAAGTCCTTTCTTTCTCTTTCTTTCCCGTCATTCATTCTTATATTAAACTTTTTCGTCGGACATTTATTAATCATAAATTTTTCAGGAAAAAAAGAAAAAAATTCTTTTGGTCACTGCACACCCATTTTTTGATCAAAGAACCGATCGGATTCTCAAAAAAAAATTGGATATACCCTAATTTTCTGAATATTTATTCCGAATTTCAAGCTTTTTCTAAGTTCAGAAGCCCTTGAAAGTTCAAAAATTGGGTCCGCTAGACCATGAAAATCGGTTTCGAAGACGTTATTTGTACTTCATTTCAACAAAGGTCATTTTTTTGAAAGAAAATTTCAGGTTTTGTCTTAACTTTTTGAACTCAAATTTCGAAAAAGCTAGTCGAAAATTATTCTTATTTTTTTCAAAAATTCCGACTTCTAGACTATAAAGTTCAGCTTATGCGGCTTGAAGTCGAGATTTCAAAGAAAAATATTTCGAATTTTTAGTTCGAAAATCAAGTTTCTCTGAATAAAAAAATTCTAAATTTTTTTCTAGTCAAAAATGTACTTTATTGCGAATTCTGTGTCTTGTAGACCATGAAATCCAAGCTCGAAACTGTTCTATGAACAATTTATTCAAACTTGAGTGCTTCCAAAAGTTGGCTTTATAATAAAAGTGCGAAAAATCCAACTTCCTCTTTTGCATTCAAACTTTTTTTAAATTTTATTTTTTTCCTTCTACATTCCGATGCCTTTCACCTGTTCTCCCCGTGCAATCCAATCTCTTCATTTCCCCATCCTCTAGGAAAAAGATTCCAAATTGTTTCTTTCTGTTCTCCCTAAGGATTTTCAAAGTGTTCTCTGCACTTTTCAAAGATCCATGTCAAATAAAGTGAAAAAACTCTGGAAAAAAGGTAAAAGTCTAATTATGAGAATATACATCAAAAGCCTTCCCATGAGCACCTGGTCAGAAAAAAAAATAGTCTAGGCTTTTTTCTCCGTATGTCACAAGTGTACCCAAGACTTTTCCAGGAACACGTCTTTTCTGTTTTTTTCTACCTTTCAAAGTCAAAAAGGGATTAAGTCACAGGAAACCTTACAATAGGGCAATGAGATGCTCTTTTTAGTTCGAGTAAAGTTGCTTTCGAGTTTCTAGACCTCAACCTTTTTTTCAAAAGCTATGAAATAACATGTTTCAAGAAATCACGAAACACATTAGAGAACTCTGTTTTTTTAATAAAAAAACTTTTTTTCTTGTCATTTCTTAACTTTTTAAAAAGAAAAAAAGGTTCGAAGAAAAATTTTTCTGTTGAAAAATAGAAAAAAATTAAAAAAATTTCCGCCTCCTCGTCTATGAAGTCGGGATGGATTGACTATAACCTTGTTCAAATTTTTATCGATTCCAATAAAATTTAAGTTTGAAAATGGCTATAGATGTAGTTTATAAGCTATTAGGTTCGCTTTAACCAAAGGGAATAATTTTCAACTTGTTATCAAAAAAAATTGAGAAAAAAACATTTTTTGTGAGGAGGTGGAAGCTTCAAAGCTTTCTGGGAGTACTATTAGTGGTCACTCAAGGGGTTTCTCAAATATAACTTGGAGAAGACTATAGGGGCCACTACACGTCAAAACCCTAAAGTGGCCTGAACATTTTTCTTTCATCGCAATTCAAGAAAAAATGATGTCGTAAGATTTCTTCAGTGATAAATTTAATGCCGTGTTCAAAGTAATTTCCGCGAAATGCAAAATGGTCTCTGACCCTCCAAAATTTAGTTATCTTTCTCTTTCTCTGACGGCTATTTTGATTTCGCGGAATCACTTTGAACACGGCATAAGAAAATGTCTACCTTTCCAAAATAAATACCAGTTTCGAAACTTCCAAATAACCTTCTGAACTCGATAAAAAAGAAGAAACTCTCCCAGTAATCACCTTTTTTTCCGATTTCGACCTGTTTCAAAATATTTTCAAGGTAATAACATGCTTCGAAATGCTATCAGGAAGGAAGAAAAACGCCCACATGACCCCGCCCCATATTTCTTGCAGAAAGAATTCCGATTTCGAGTATTTCAATGCGTGTGTCATGTTGTTTATCTCACTTTTCCGCAAATTCCAATACACCTGCCTTGATTAGAAAAAGTTCACGTGAGGAAACTCGTCAGAAGTTTTTTTTTGTCTTTTAAGTTTTCAAAAGGTTGTTCTCTGTTATAAATTGTCTCCCGTTCAAATTCACCAAAAATAAAATCAAGAGGAATAGTAAGAATGGACTTTATTCCATGTATTAATAAAATATCATCCTTTTTGAGCTTCAAATCTCAGACTCCTTTGAATTTTTCTCAAAGATTGAGGGAGTGTGGTTCTGTTTTTTAGAGTTTTTCAATTCCCACGCATTAGTTTGTCAAAACTTAGAAATTTTAGAGTGGTCCATATAAGGGTTAGGGAAAAAAAAAACGTCCCTACAGGGGTTCAGAGTCCGACTCCTCAGCCCTTAAAACTTAAGTGATCCCTATAGGGGTCTCTCAATTTTATTCAAAAAAGGTTATTTCTCGAGTTTTTCGCATAGTGCTCATGAAAATTATTAACTAGCATGTCACCTATAGGGGCCACTAATCAAAACCTCTGTAGGGACCACCTTTGCCGTTTTTGGTGGCCAATATAGGGGTAGGCAAAGTGGTCCCTTAAGATTGCCCCTATAGAGACCAGTCTGGAATCCCTAAGAATAGCTAATGAACACTTGAATACGTATTTTTCTACGAAAAGATTTTTTATTCACACCTAAAAATGATTTTAAAAAATTACCGTCCAAATTTGAGTGAGAATTCTTCAATTTCCTCTCAAAATAGGTTATTCCCAACACATTCCTTTCAAAATTCATTATAAGATGCCCTAACCTTCATTCTTGGGATATTTAATTACCGCTCTCTCAATGTCGAAAAACATGAGAGGAAAAGGAAGTAGAAGCTCAGAAATTCCTTCTTTTCTTCTTTTTTCTTTCTGACATCTAGCAGAAAACTATATTAGGCTTGCAAGGAATGTTGACTCATTTTTTTCTCTTTTTATTGGCTTTATATATATTTTTTTCAAGCCTCATCGTGTTTTTGTATATCTACATATTGCTTACAACTGTCCCAAGCTGTAACTAAAAAAATCAATAATATATAGAAATTCTCAAAAAAAATTTTTAATAAATCTTTAAAAAAATTGAGAAAGTTACTGGTTTTTTGTGTTTTCAGAGCCCGTGGACGTATAGTCCTCTTTTCTCGAGGCGAAAATCAAAAAAAAAAATCGATTATCTTTTTTCATTGTACATCCAGCTCAAAGCCTAACCGTTATCCACTAAAAAAATGAAAGAAAAATTATTGCAATTTCCATCCAAAATAGGAAAATTCAGCAGTTTTTTTTTGTTTCTAATCTTACAGGTTTGCTTTTTTTTTCCAGCTTCTATGCAATTTTTTTAAGTCTTCAATTTTAAAGCTCAAAAAAATTTTTAAAGATTTTTCACTCAAATTTATATCAACAAGTTCCTCTAAATTATCTTAAACTGACTGATAAATCACATCTTTCCCATACTTTACCGATTTCACACTACATTTTGCCGACCAACAAGTCCATATCGACTTTCATTTCAAACAACAAACATTCTTTGCAAGTTTTTTTGACGTCTTTAAGATTTCGGAAAGAGCAATTATCTTACCTCGAACTTCAACTTTTCAAGAAAAACTTATTTTATAAAAAAAAGTTGGCTATTTTTCAAGCTACAAGTTTTTCGAAAATGATACTTTTTATATAAAAATTGAATTTTGAGGTTTTTAATTTGAATTTTTTTCTACGCCTGACCCATGAGCCTTTTATTATTTCCGAAAATCTTATTTCGTCTCGATTTCAAAAAAATAACCTATTTTTTTATTATTTCCTTTTTTCACGGCATATTTGACGCACGTAGAAGCTTTTGAACTAAAAGTTTACCTCTTCACAATAAGTTTATTCTGATTTTGCGCATTTTGCTAAATTCTTTCAAATTCTAACTTATTTGTGAGTGCAATTTCAGTGCAGTTTTAAGAAACAAGATCTCACTTTATTTAGGTACTCATTTCTTGCAAAAAAAAAGCCTCCATCCTGAGCTAGAACTTCAATTTCTTCAAAAAAATACCATTTTTGCAAAGTCGCGATAAGAAATATATCTCTGCTCTTTTCAATGCAAATAAATCGCTTCCGGTCGTACTTTACAATAAAAAATCTTTCCGGTGTTACTCCATCGAGTAACAGGATTAAAGGATTTTTCCGCGTAAATGATGATTGCAGAAAGTTTTTTTGATGTTTGCTTCTTTTTTTGGTCATTTTTTTCCGCATAATTTTTATAAATTCAAACCAAAAAAATCCTTTTTTTATTTAAAATTCCGGTATTATCGGAAAAATTGAGACTAAATTTGAAGGCAAATTATAGAAAACTTTGATACGTTTGAGTAGCTATTATTTTTATTTCCTCATCTTTATTGAAATATAGACTTCTTAGTAACCGACTTCTGCTTGAAACTTTTTGGAAAATTATCAAAATTCTAACAGTTTTGAAAAATTTTTTTGAAAAATATGATTGATTTTTTTGGGCTTGCAGGAGGAAAAAAACTGCCCGAAAAAACAGTGAACTCTGAAATTTAACAGAAAAATCTGAAAAACACTTGAATGAAACATTTTTGAGCATACAATGTTTTCGTTTTTTTTTCGAATCTTTACATTGTTTTCCAGAATCTTAAATTTTCTTTTCAGAAAAAGAATCCCGCGCACCTTGAAGACGTCGTCGAGCCGATGCTTGACTCATCGGAAGAACGATTTCTGACGTTCATCAACGCTACCGTAGTCGAGGAACTCGGATGGACGTCTTCGCTTCGAGACCTTTACCTCGTCGAGGCCTTTCTTCTCTTGTTGAAGTTGGTTTTTGAGCCTCTTAAAATTTCCGAAAAGAGGTTTTCATAAAATTTCTGTTGAAGGAAGTTTATAACAAGCTCAGGCAAAGTCGGAATGGTGGATAACGGCGGCTAAAAGGGAGAGGCTCAAAAAAGGCTGCAGAAAGGCAGCAAAAAGAGTCCCTTTATCGAGCCTTCCATTTTTTCTGGGATTTTAAAGGTTCAAGAAATGGTGGAAAAAGAGAGAGGCAGCAAAAATGGTGCACAAATGGCGCAAAAATGCAAAAAAATCAGAATCTTTGTTACCCTAAAAGTAAAATTTGTATGGAGCCTTTTTCACCGTTCCAACTTTGCCTATGAGTAAATATTTCCATTATTTTTTTTTAACAAAAAATTTCAATCATTTTCTAAGAAAGTTAGAAAAATTAGTAGTCTGTGGTGAGAACGGAGCAAGTCTCAAATTAAACAAAATATGCTCCAAAAAAATAAGGTTTTTGAAGCATTTTTCACAAGGCCAGAACGCAATCTTTGATTCAAGTTTATATTTACTTGATTCGTCTTTTTATATCTTGCTGGTATCGTTTTTCCCAACTCGAAAAAAATTTTTTTACCTTGATCAACACTTTTTTAATTTTCTGAAAAGACATTTTGCATAAGAAACTTTTTTTTCAATCAAGTTATGAATATTTTTCAGTTGGATCCAGTACATTTACACGTTTTACTTGTTGGTCTTCGTTAGAGCCGTTCATTTCAACCTGAATACGATGTTGATCGTCTACGGCGGCCAATATTTCTTCTCGATGCTTTCGAGGACGATTCTAGTCTACTATCAATACATGGGAATGGAATTCGTCGGTGAGATTGGTCGGATTTCGAAAGAATAAATGAAAAAAGAAATGAGAAATTACTAAAATTTTCCAAAATTCCGACTTATTTCCTTCCAAAAAATATGACTTTAGGAAAAAATATGGTGAATTCGCGAGCGGCTCTAACAAAATATAACTTCAATTAATTTAAGTACAGTAAATGTACCAAAAATTTTGGTTGGAGTGTTTAAAGGTAGGGTCCGCAAGCCATTTCTTCAAAACGATCCAAAAAATATGTTTTTTACACTGTTCGATAGAGGAGACTGTCCATTTTCATAATCCGTTCAGTTTTAGAAAAAAGCTCCACTAAGAAAAAAGTTATGGCCAAAAAACTAGCGCGCGCGGCGTTCAACTGGAGGCAAAATCTCACGGTTTACCCGCTGCCGCACGCTTTCTTTTTAAATGTTTTTGCGCGTTTCTGGACCGTTTTTTTAAATCGGTTTTCTGTTCTGAGAGGTTGTCGAACTGAGCTTCATGTTTTTGGTATGAATCTTTTTGTACAATCCTCATAAGAATTTTTTTGATAAAATATCAAAAAAACTACCTAGAAAAAAAGGTCAGAAGGAATTTTTTCAGCTTATTCTTCTTTTTTCTAATCAGAAAAAAATTATTATCATTCAGTTTGGAAAGAAAAGAAAAAAATGAAAAAAATAATGTTATTTCGAAATAAAACAGGAAAAAGTGCAATTTGACGCCGAAAAACGGCTCCTGCAACATTTAAAATGGCGCATCGGTGCGTTTGACGCAAGCACAGCTACAAATGCTTGCACGAAATCTTCCGAAATTTCAAAAAAAATTGCCATTTTTTCGAGGTTTTCAAAGCCGTTCTTTTTTTCGCGTCGTTAGATTTTTTTCATAATTTTTTCATAGATAGAGTTTTGAACGCTTAATAACATAAGCAAAAATATAGACGCGATCCTATTCTCTCATGCGACAACGAGGCAGACGAAAAAAAGGAGGTTTTGGTAAAATTCAAATATAATTTGATTCGCTGTCCCAATAATTATTTTTCATTCTGAATTTTTTTATTTTTTTGAACACATTGTGAGTTTTTAAATCAAATAAAAAGTATACCTTGTCGCTGAAATTTTTTCGCATTTCAGCTTCAAAGTTTGGTGTCACTTTACAAGCTTCGATTTTTTTTTCGCGTCGTTAGATTTTTTTAAATCTTTATTCAAAAAATAAAGAAAGTGTTAATGTATAACATACTTAAAATTTAGAAGCGTTCCTCACTTGGTTTTCTGAAACGCGACGATTTTGTGAAACTTGTCAGTTTTTTTCGTGTTAAATCTTACTTTTTCGCTTATTTTTGAAAAATACATAGTTTAAAAATTTTTCAGTCTTGTAGAGCGTTGTCGATTACATAGTTTAACAAAAATAGTTTATTTTTAAAGTGGGACTTTAGCTAGTATAAACGCCTCAAAACCGTTTCTGCAACAAAAAAATCGTCATTTTGGTGGCGTGAAGGGGCGGGGCTTTGCGCCCCCTATTTAAAGGAGCATAGAAAAATTTCAAAACGGACTCGATGCGAAAATTCATTTTCAGTGCCCTTCTCTGCCTTGAAAGATTTCTGGTCCTCAAACACCCAGGAAAAGATTTCTGAACAAAGTTTTATATCTCCCAACCTTTCAATAAATTGAAAACTCACCAAAATCATCAAAGAAATTCCAGATGAATCATCTCTAGGCGTCATCAAATTAGCCAACTATACACGGACCATCTGCCTTTTCATAGCCTTCTACATCCTTCCATTCTTGGTCCTAGAAAGGTAAAAACGTCAATTTTCACTCGAATCATTCAAAAACCCAGGTTTTTCGCCACTTTTTTCTTATTGGACTATGAGCAACGAGGACGTCCGTGGGTTCCGGTAGTTCTCGTGGCTGTATTATTTCCAACGAGTATATTTTCTGCAATCGCCTACATAAGATGTAACCGAGAAACAAAAGAAAGAAGTTGAAAACGACGAAAATTTACAGTTTGGGTGCCAGTTTACGTGAACATCATCAGCTTTATGGCGCTCAACTTAGCCGGCACAGTTTTGCTCCTGACAATCACCCGATGCAATATCAGCATGCACAAGTGAGAAAAAAAAACAATACAAAAGTGAAGAAAACCGAAAAAGTGATCTGATGACAAGAAAAATCGACTTTTGGCTGAACAGTCGGGAATTGAAATGTGTTATGTTCAATGCCCGCGACGCAAAGTCACATACTCTCCAAATGGAAAAGCCCAATTTTTTCATATATTTTGTTTTTTTTTTATTGTGTTTCTCGCGTGTGTTCTCTCCCTAACTACTGATAAAGTTCAATAAAATCGTGTTTTTCTGAAGGATTGGCAAAAATTTTCCTGTTTTGGTTTTTTCTAGTTTCTGCAACTTTCGCAAGCTTTTTTGTTCTGTTTTCTCATAAATAAAGTTGATTTTAGGGACTCGTACTCAGTCTTGAAAAGGCGTGACTTCCGGCACTATTCACTGAGTGAACGCTTCCAACTTGCCGAAAACATCAAAACATGCAAGGTTTTTTTTTCCATCATTCTTGAAAGTTTCGATTATTTCCAGTGGCTGACACGGGTCCAGTTCTCCATTGTCTTCTACAATATTCTGTGCACTTCAATGCTCCTTTTGGACCAATTCAATTTCCCACAAAGTACTTTGATCCGAGTTTACATCGCTTTCAATTTCTGCTGCATTTTGTGAGTCTGAAGAAAAATTAAGTGAAGAACTCGGATGAATTTTTCAGATACGCTCTGACCATACCGTTGATGGTGTTCTACTACACACCAAAGTGGATAAATGAAACGCAGAGATTGGCAAGTTGAAAAAAATATTTTTTTCATGAAAAAAACGTGCAGAAAAATTGAAGGATTTTTTTCTTCATCATAAAAAAATACTAAAGAAAATGACTTCCTTTAGTGATTAATTATAAAATAAGAATTTTCCATGACTATAATTGATTTTTTTGAGGAGGAAAGGAAGTATTATATATTTTTCTCGTTTTCATCAAGTTTTTAGGTATGAAAGTCAATTTTTTCACATTTTCTCGGTCAAGCAACCGAAAATAGGAAGTTCCATTGTTTTTTTATCATTTCGAATCGGGTTTGCGAAAAAATTCTGATAAAGAATCATTGTTATCCAAAGATTTTGACGATTTTAAGGCATAAAAGCCGGGATGTCATTTTGAACTAATTACCGTAAAAATCATAAAGGGCAGATTTCTGCTCTAAAAGGGTTTTTTCACTCAAATTTTATTTCAAACTCATTTTGAGAGAGCAAAAAACCCGTTTTCCGAATCCTTGGCTCTGAAAAAGACCATAACTTGGCTTTCAATTCTTCAGAACGAATATGAGAAAAAAATGCATTTCCAAAATTTCATACGTTTCATTTTAGTTTTAAAAACAGGTAGCTTTCTTTCCACTTCGTTCTTCGAAGCATGCTCTCACAAAAAAAACAATTCAAGTTTACGAATTAAATTCGAAACGAAAAAATCCTTCATTTTCGGCCCTTTTTTTCGAAATACAAAAAAAACTTTTTCCACAAAAATATTAGGTCGAGATGTCATCTTTTTCAGGTCATAATTCTGTGGGAAAGGTTCTTGTCTTTTACTCAGGGATCCTAGAGAGAATTTCTTTTTTTTAACCGTTTCAGCCTGGGTTTGTAAGAGAATCTCTTATAAATCAATCCTATTAGAAATTTCATGTTTTACTATGCAAAATTCCTCTTTTAAATTTTTGTTTTTGCACTCTGATTGGAGGGTTTCGAAGTAAAAGCGCAAAAAGAGTTGACATTACGGTAGTTTTTTCACAGCTGTGTTTGAATATATCACGATCTCGCGAGGAATGCCCTATAATACGATCTGGGTTCGCATCTAAAAAGCTAGGGAGCACTGGTAACCAAGAGCGCGTTCTCTTTTTTAAACGCTCTCTAACTTTCGAAGACGAGAGTTTGACGTAGACTCTATAATCCACCATCGGATCCGAATCAATCTTTCAAATCCTGCTTTACAGTTGAAGCAACTGCGCTACGGTCGAGCGATGACGGTCGATTCCACGCTGAGGTCGACGTTCGGCAAGGAGATGATCTACGACAGCAAGAACCAAGGCGTCATCTATTTCCAGCGGCTAGACGAGGACTTGGCCGCCAGTTCCATGAAACAGCATCAGAAGGAATTGAGGCGTGGAAAACGGCACTCCCCGCCAAACGAGTACTTTTTATAGCTGCTATAGTTTTTCTCTGTACCTCTAAAAACTTAATACGATTATCAGCTTGCCTAGGGCTTCGTTCAAAACAAATCCTAGGATCTGTGAATTTTCTCCACTTGAAAAAATCGTTTCTTGACCGATTTTGTATTAAAATCACCTACTCATAGCATCTTCCTTTTTTCTGTATATTTGAGAATTTTCTGTGACTTTATTCTAAATTTTCTAGGATCTCCTCTTAGTTATCTGGTTTTGATTTTTTATTGATTTTCGTTCTAAAAATCTGTAAAACTTCTAATATTCCTATCTTTCCCTGCACCTTCAATTTGACATTATGAATTTATCTGTAAATATTTGAAAAAAAAGCCATATTCCTTCTCCTTTTTTTACCGGTTCTCCTTTCATAGCTGTGATATTTTATCCAAATAAAAGCTCCTAATCATCTTTATGAACAGTTTCAAACAAAAAAATACACGTCTCTTGGGGGTGAAAAAATTTCTAACAAATCTAAAAGTTTGCTCAAGCGACTTTTTTGACATTCAAGGGGTTGAGAATCTCTTCTCGCAATGTTCTTCCAGCAAGTACCTGAATTTTTCAGTTATTTGAAAGATTTTTTTAGTTTTTGAAAGCTTTTTTTCATAGAAAATAATCTCGAAAAGGCTAAGAAAAAAACCCAAAAAAACGAAGTTTCCACTAAATTACAAGAATTGTTTTTGTAAATTATATATTAGGCTCATATTTCCCAACATCCTGTTTTTCTTAATGTTCTCAAGATCTCTTATTTTCAATATTCAGTTCGAAAAACGCATTTCTTCACGCGATCCGGCTATAGCTGATTCACGACTGGCTTGAGCCATCAAAAACAGGGTCCTGACACGATAAGAAAAGAGATAGTGCCTGCTTAGTGGAGGGCGCAGAAGAGCCACGCCGCCTTAAGTTTTTCGTGGATCGGCTATAACTCTCGAGAATATTACTAGGAAGGTAGTCATTTCCACCAGATTTCATGATAGTTTCCATAATCTTCATCATGACCAAACTGTTGATAAAACGCGAAAATTCAAAATTTTCAAATATGATTTTTTAATAACGTCACCTGCGCTCTATCCGGAACATATTTGTCGAAATTCAAGGCAACGTAGGTTGGATAGGCGACAGCGCAAAGTCCGTAGTAGACCCTGAATCGGTCGATTGTAAATCCTTTTTTTTCGAAAAACAGGAAGTTAATAATAGCTCTGGCTTTTTTCAAAGCGTGACTAAAGTTCAATATTTAAAAATTCATGAATCGGCAAGCATATGGACTATATTCAATACTACATATTATCTTTCTAAAATTTATTGGCGAGCTCAGAAGGGAATCAGAAGTCTCGCACTACCTGAAAAAGTTTTTCCATTTATCAGCGTCTTCAAAAATTTTTTAGGCAGATTTCGGCAGTCAAAACACTCAGATGGTCTACCAAAATCAATTTACTTTTTGAAGGTTTGGTTTCGACCAAGTTTTATATTGGTTCTCAAAAAGAAACCGCAAAGTTGTTTCTACATAGTATACCTTAATTTTAAAAATGACCAAAAGAAAACTTTTTGCTCGATAAAAGTCAAATAAATTTTGTCTCGGGGTTACCTTAACTTCTGTCATTTTTTTTTTCAAACATTTTATTTTCTTCTTGTATCCAAAACTTCAGAAATCGTTGTTTATGCTTTTCAGTAAGTTTTTTGAAAAAATGATTTCAAACTTTGAAAAAAAAAAGCCAACCTCAACAAGAGCATTCGGGTGGGCCGCTCAACGTAATACCAAAGGGAGGGACATCTTCAAACGTTTTTTTCATTTTTTTGAAAATCATAGTAATTGGAAAATGATGAATATTATTGGAATCAACCGCTGAAGGAATCGTTCAAAAACTGATCAAAATGATAATTTTTATTGATCAGAAGCGGAAAAAGCAGCAACAACGTAACGAAATGAATTTCCAAAAAAAAAAAAAACAAAAACGAACAACAAGGAACTCAACAAAAAAATAAAACAACAAAAATTACAAAACCGCCATTTTCGGTTTCTTGGGAGTGCCAGAAGTACCATCCGCCGATTTCCTCTTCAACGGTCTTTTGCCCAACTTTCTCTGAATAGAAAGGTTGTTTTTTTATTTTTCAGCTGCATTCGTAAAAAAAATAAAGAGTTTTTTTATATATAACCGTTAAACTCATTTACTTTTTCAAAAGAACTGCCGGAAAAAGCCTGATTCAATCTATTCTTTTTTTCAGCTCAAAGAAGAACATTTATCAATTCAAACTGGATTTACTTATTTCAAATCTATAATATGACCTTTTTGAGCCAATTTTCAGACCACCGAAACATTTCTTTAGTAGAACTTATGTCATTGAAAATTTAGGGAAAGTGATTTATTTCTACGTTTTTTTATAATTCAATGTATTCCGAACTGTAAGTAAAATTGCAAGAAATATGAGAAAAATCATCAGTTGAGAAAAAAAAGCTTGACATTGACTCTTTCAACTTTTTGAAGCTTCAGCGTAGGAAAGATCATTATCTTTCAGTGATTTTTCTTTTTCCGTTTGAATAATTTCTTTAATCTATTCAACAAAAAACGACCTTGGCGATCCTCTCGTTGATCTTCTTGCGTTTTTCGCGTTTCTTGAGGACCTTGGCCGGATCAATCGTCGGCTTCAAGCCGTCCAACTCGGAATGTTCGTCTTTGACTGAAATACGAGAAAACAATATTGATTAGAAACCTAAAACCCATATTCCTCATACATTTTATCATTCATTGATAAGACAAAGCTTTTAAACTACTTTTTTTTAGACATATGAAGCAAAAATATTGAAATCCCATGCCAGTCACGCTTTTCATCCGATTCTATACCCTCTTACAGAAAAAAAAAACCTATTCTAGCGAAAAAGATTTTTTATTTCCACGGCTATCCCAAAAAAATTTCACGCGTGTCGTAACTTTTATCGATTAATATCCCGATGTGATATATAAGTTTCAACTGTGTTACAAGAAGGGATTCCTTAGAAAATGAATACTCTTCATGATCAACTAGCTCAAAAGACAATCTTTTTTTGAAGTTCAAACTATTCATCTTGAAAAAATAAAATAAATAAATATTCAATTTTGCGTTTTGCGAACCTTCTCCAGAATAAAAATAAACTAATAATCATCGCACAAAAGTATAAAATTTTACGAAACAATTTTTTTCCAGCTCTTGCTCGCTGAATATTAGGGTTACAATATACCAACCCTTCTTTTTCTCAGACAGTCACCAAAAAATCTGAAAACCCCACCTGTTGGGAACAAAACGGCTTCGTCCGTGTCGTCCTTGATCACCCGAATCCGTCCATTCTTACGAATTGCGAGCTAAAACAATTTTTAATTTAATCTCAGTTGGGAAGAATAAGACCTTCAAGCCTTCCGGAAGCGTATTGCACTCATCAATAATTTCGTCCAAAGATTTCGGCTTTTCCTTGTCCTTCAGTTTGATATCATTGGCTGATCCTGGAAGAAAGATCAGATAATGAAATAAAAATAAAAAGGTTCTAGAAAAGACAAAAAAACTTCAAATTCCATTAAAATCTGGTCTTTCCATCCTTTATAACTCTAATTCCAATACAACGATTCTAGTAAGTTTTTTTAATTATACTTATGAAAAAAATTGGATAATTTCTACGAAAGAGAAGTGAGACCGATAACTTCATCTCTTAAGAAACTTCTGTCAAATAAATCTATAAATCTTGAAGAAATATCTCTATATGTTCTCAGAAAACTACAATTAACGAAACTTTTTCGAATTCATAAGCTTCGGAAATTCAAGCCAAGGCTGATTTCCGTTCTCAAATCGTTCAGCAAGTTTTTCTGTAGCACCTTGATCAACATAAATGGGCAGTGAAGGTTTCCCGCCGCTGGGGGTCAAATGAATGTCTCGGATGTTGCGGAAGCCGCCGGGACAGCCGGCCGCCACCTCGTCGAGGATTTTGTCGACGTTCTCGCCGAGGTCAGCCGCTGCCTGACCGAGGTGACCAAAGGAGACAGCTCTGAAACGTTTGGTGTTGAACTCGAGGTGGAGATTGAGTTTACAGGAATCGTTTGAGTTATCGTTGGATGTTTTCTAACTTTTAGTTAGTACCAACCTTTTCACTTCCTTTACCTGTTTCTTACTCCGCTCTTTACTAACATCCCCTCATATTTTTTCAAGTTTCTGGAGAACTCGCGTCAAATTTTTTTTTGGATGAAGGAGGTTAAAAAAAAACTCGGAGTGAAGCTCAACGCAAAAAAAAAGTTTCTTCTTCCTTCCCTTTCTTGATTTAATCAAAACTTTGAAACCATCAATTTTACGGTTGAATTTTTTTTAAAAAAAGGAACCCAATTTTGGCTTCAATAATGTTACCTGACACTATATTTATCGTTTAAAAATTCCAGAATTTTTTTAAGGCTTCCCATAAATCTTCCCCTTTTATAACCAAACATTCATTTTTAAAAAAAGGTTTTTTTGAATTTTTTTCTCAGATACTTTGATCTTAAACTCAATTTCAGGCAAGAAATTTTTTTAGTTTTTTTATTTCTTTTTTCCCGTAAAAGACAGAAAAAACGGACACCCGATTGACATGTCGAGCCAAAGTGTAGGAAACTGTGTTGAGGGCCTTGGAAATCGACGTCGACAGGGCCTGGGTGTAGCGGAAGGGCAATGGGACTCTTGAAAATAGTTGTTTAAAAATCGCTAGTAAAGTTCTACAAGAAGTTCTGTTTTTAAACGTCGACCATTTTACAATCCTTCAAAACTTCTACCGTTTCAGAATAGTTTGCAGTTTTCACCAAGCTTCCTAATTTTTCTCAGAAAGCTTCATTCAACAAAAATTCGAAATATAAAAAAATATTTGTTTGTTTTTTTCTCATTTTCTTGAAGAGATATGATAAGAAAACTCAATTTAACGAAATATCAAGCTTTAAAAAGTCAAATGAACACGAAATGCACAAACTTCTTCGCCTTGCGGAAATCCTTGCCGACAAAAGTCTTGACCGAGGCGAAAACTCGGGTGTCGACCAGGAAGAGGTCGTAGGCCGACGCCAGGGCCCGCTTCTCTTTGAAGGTGTAGGCAGTTCGCTCCAGCTCTCGTTTCGTCATGATCTCAAATTCACTTTTATAACCTTTACGCGTCTTTTTTTTCTCACTTTTATCTGGCAAATACACCAAAAGATCACAGGTCCTAGAGCGGAGCAAAAAAAGCTTGTATACTGTGGTTTTTTTTAAATTTTTTATAAAGTGACACGAGATTCACTTCAAATGTCCGCTAATTGAACAAGAAAATTTTTCAACTCGTTCAAAAGAGCTCTAAAAATAATTTTGAAGGCGCAGCTCCGCCAATATCAACTGAACTTCTTATGCTTTTGAAAACAATTTCAGAAGAAAAATAGATCGTTTCTCCTCAATAACTTGTTGGAGAAAAAAGGTACATTTAACCTTCCAAATTTTATAATTACTCCTTCTGGCTTGATAACTTTAAAACGTCCCTCCGCGACTTCAAATTTTCCCGCAAGTTTTATTAGATGATTTTTCAGTAATTTTAAACTACTGGAACATTCAGAGCTTCAAAAAAGTCATAAAAATTCCCTAAAACGTAGCAAAACAAAGTAATCTCATTACCAGAGACAAGGTTTTTCTCGGCCAGTTAAATCAAAGATTGAGCTGTTTTTTCTGTGAAAGTTTTTCATGTTCTAAAGCATTTTACTGGTTTTTTTTCTTCCCAATGTTCTTCCAACCAACCCTAGCATAATGTTCTTTGGTCAAATTGTGCTCTGCTTCAAGCTTGTCCGCCCATTCGCGCGACTGTTTCTCCACGTCAAAGTCTTTCTGGAAAATAACTCTTTTTTTCTAAAAAATCTTCCTATCCCACCTTGGCTTCATCCGATTGATCCAGATCGGGTAAAATCAGACAAACAGAAGTATTGTTGATATTTTTGTGCGAGTGGGGCAGTTCACTGAAAAATCGCATTTTCCACTTTGGAAATGGGAATTCGAAGAAGTATTCATGAAAAATTTTTTTCTCTTCGAGAAACTTGTTTTTTTCGAAAAAAACTTCACAAACCATAAAAGTTGTTTTTTTAAAAATTTCTCATTACTTTTCGAAAATTCATTAGAAATTTTTGCAGACTATATACACACCAACTTTTGAATGCTTAAAAAAATTCGATGACTTCTCTCTTTTTCTTGCTGATAAACTTTATAAAATGCTTTTTAAAATGCCCCTTTTCAGTTTTTAGTCTACGAATTGCCCACGAATCGCTGAAAAATTGGCGTAAGTTAGTTGAAAATCTAATTGAGGGTAGACAAAGAGCGAAAATTTTCCACTACTGAGAGATAAATTGATAAAAAAAATCAGCCTCGAACTTTAATCGCATGATTTTTTCTAAGAATCCATACTCCAAAAAAGAAACATTTTCCGCAAGAGATCATTGTTTCGAAGTTTGCAAAAACGCAAATTATGACAAAAAAAAGCGCGATTTTTTAGGTTTTGAAGCGTCTCGAAAAAGCGAAACTCGAAAACCAGATCTTCTGTGAATTTTTTTTTCTAGTTCCAAAATAAGGAGGTCCTGAAGTACACTTTTCATCAGAAGTTCGACCGGGAGGCTTGAAAAAAGTCCTTAGTCAGTATTTTATAAACATTTTCAAGCTTCCGCGATCTGTCGACATGGTCGGCTTCTTGTAGTTGACCGTCAAAGTGCACGAATAATCGATATCCGGGAAGAGAGATTTCTCGTTCTTCTCGGCGAAAAACTTCTTCAGTGCTTTGATCGCGACTCGGGCCTAGAAAAGAATGGGAAATAGCTTTGGAGATTCTTTTTAAAAACTAGAAAAGTAGTTATTCCTAGTTTAACACTTATTGGAAGCGTTCTAAAAATTTCTATAAAGATCACAAAAAATAATATCATAAACCATGAAAAAAGGGCTTCAAAAATAACACATGTAACCTCAAAAATCAGGGAATTAATTTTTCTATCTAAAATAAATATTTTTATAAAAATTTGGATGAATCCAGACCAATCAAAAAAAGTATTGTAATCGTTTCCCAAAGAAATGATTTTTCTTTTTAAAATTCTTCAATCAAAAAAATTCAATTGGTCCAAATAAATTGCAAAAACAAGAGCCAAGAATATTAATAAGAAACTTTTTTTGATTGAAACTTAACATTAAAATAAATTTATTCTAAAAAAATGGTGCTAAAAACTATTTTTTTCTTTTTTTCTTCCGAATTTGAAGCGCCTTATCTACTTTTTTTACATTGAAAACGTCTTAACAAATTTTTTTCTAATTTTTTTCAGACTTCAACTTTTTATTTCCTATAATTTTTTTCACTAACCTGATCTTTAGCACTCTGAACCCGCTCCTCGACATTAAAGTCCGCCTTTGGCGCTTTTTTCGTCACTTTCTTCGCTTTCACGTTCTCTTTCACTTCCTCCTCCTCCTTGACCTCTTCCTTTTCGACCTAAACAAAATTAGTTCACCGCTGAAAAACGTTCAATTTCACCTTCTCAGGCGTTTCCGGAACTACTTTCTTTTCCTTCTTTGATTTCTTTGCTGAAGATACAAGTGGAGACTTTGATGTTTCTTTCACAACTTTTGGCGATGGCTGAAAAATAGAGGAATGATTAATTGGAGGGAAAAAAATCACTTTTGTTCAAAAACAGTGTTTTTGTATCAGATTCAGTTCAAATAAAGTTTCGATGGAATTCGAGGTTCATATTGGTTCACAAAGAAAACAAAAAAATTTTTTTTGGAAAGTTAAAACACTCAATGATTATTTTCAGCTTTGCGTGATCTCATGAGATAAAAATCATTTTAAAACTAGAAAAAAGGCTCCCAGGGGAAAAATTTGAGCAATTTTCGATCGATATCAACATGTTCTCGTTTCTGAGTTCCTTCGGTCACATTACACAAAAAATACAAAAAATGAAGAAAAAAATACGTCGAAAACAATGAAAAACCTCAAAATGACCAAAATATCCTCAAAATCCTACCTTAACTGGAGTTTGCTTCTCAACTTCAGCTTTCTTCTTTTCCACCTTCGAAATTGGTGTGGCCTTAATTTCCAACAATATTCCGCGAAAATAAAATAATAAGAACCTCCTGCACGGCCTTCTTCGGCGTCTTTTTCGGGGTGTTAGCTGCCTTCTTCACCATTTTCAATTGAACCCTTTTTAAAAATGAAAATGAATAAACCGAACCTCAAAATGACATAATTAAGTATAAACAGTCTGATTGAAACGGTTATAAAAAAATAAAAAATTGACAGAGGAAAAAAACTTTATGTCTTCAGATTGGTGAAAAGAAGAGAAAATAAACCAGTACACAATAAAAATTTTTTTACAACGATTTGAAAATTTTTTTATGAAACAACAAAGATAAAATCTTCAACTAGAAACTCCTAAAACTGCGATTCTAAAAAAAATAGGAAAAATGTAATAAACGAAAAAGAAAAAGAGCCATGTGGAATGAGAGAAAATGAAGACAAATTTCGAAATAACCAGACTTTCTATGCAAAAAAAATGCAGAAGTTTTTACAAAAGCTAATTTTGATGTAAAACCACTGCAAGAACAGTAAAATCATCTAATTTAGCAAATAATTGACCTATAAACTCTTAAACTCATAAATAAACTCAAGTAACCACAAATCCTCAATTCCACAGACCCTAAAGTATATTCATAAACGGCTCAAATGGAAAATTCAAGGCGCAGGGCGATTTCTAAAAAAATTAAAATTTTGACAGAATTTTTGAAAAAAATACGCTGAAGAATCTAGATCTCACAAGATCGGCAAAGCAGCGCTCCTTCAAAAACTGCAAAAATTAGATATTCTAATAAGAAAAAGTGACTTTTAAATCTGTTTTGGTAATAAACTTTCACGCAAACATCTAACTGAAAATTCTCAACGAGAACATCTCCAAGCCCCACCCTGCGCCTTCAAAAAAGTCTTCAAGCTGTTCATGACTACACTACACACTTTACTTCAAGGCGGCCTGGAGGCCATATCCAGGGCCGGTGGGCTTCTCCTTCAAGGAGGTCAAGCCACCGAATGGCTCTGCAGCAAGGCGTCCCGAGTAGGGGCCCTTCATCGGCTGCTTGCCGGCCTTGAGCTCGTCGATGATCTTCTCCATGTCCTTGGGCGTCAGGTCCTCGTAGTAGTCGTCGTTGATCTGGACCATCGGGGCGTTGACGCAGGCGCCGAGGCACTCGACTTCGGCCAAGGTGAAAAGGCCGTCGGCGGTCGATTCTCCGGCGTGGATGCCCAACTTCTTCTCGATTGTTTCTGTGATCGTTTCGGCGCCTCGGAGCATGCACGGGGTCGTCGCGCACACCTGAAAAATGACATATTAGAAGGAAAACTTTAAAAAAATCATCAAAGGGGGGCGGGCCGGTTTTTCCAAAGAAAATGGCAGAGAAAAGAACAAGACATAATATAAGTTTCACAGCCTTCTACAAAAAAAATAAACCTGCAAGAAGTATTTTCCGACGGGTTGCCTGTTGAACATGGTGTAGAAGGTGGCGACTTCGTAGGCGCGCATTCGCGGGACCTCCAGGATTCTGGCTACTTCGTGCATGGCCGTAATTGGGAGCCAACCGTGTTGGCGTTGAGCCAAGTCGAGCAAAGGGATCAGGGCAGCGACCTGAGCGACATAGGCTTTCAATTAATCTCATTCTTTCTCTTATAGCCCATTCCGCGCCGGTTTGTCACGATTTTCTTGTTCAAACGCTTTCGGGAAGCTTCCTTTCGATGCGCCATTTATTTGGACTAAAATTTTCGTTATATTAAAGGCGCGTGTACATAAACAGACAACGAACATCGAAGAAAAGCTTCCCGGAGGCTTCTGTAGCTTGGAAAAAAGCAAGAAATCGTAAAATCTGACATGGAATATCCAACACAAAGTTCCCAAAACAGGCTCCCAGACCTTGTGACCCTCCGGATAGTTGGCGAGGATGGCCTTGATTCGCTTTTCGTTGTCTTCGGAGAACTTGAACTTGGTGTTGAGGTTGTTCTCCTTGGTGTCGCGATGGACCATCAAGCCGGTGGCGCCGCCGCGTTTCGCCACGAGGTTCGTCACCCGCGGCATCTGCATCCGCATCACGCTCGACGCTAGCGACATGTTTTCCCTGGAAACGCCATTTATAAGCAGAAAAGTGTCAGTAAAATAGGTTGATTGCTGAGAAAATAACTTTGAGCATTTATTCTCGCAAGGAAAGTGTTTGAACGGAATATCGCAAACCTTCACCTTCACTTCTGTGGCACCTATTCCCAAGTAGGAAAACCAAATTATAAAAAATGGATTATTTGCATAGGAAACCGAGATAGAGCAATCAAAAAAAAATCTTGAAAACTTTTTGGTTTTTACTCGAACAAAAAAACCTAAAAACGTGAAAAAAAAATCATTTTTCACTCAAAAATAACGTAAAACACATTTTTGCTGTTTATTTTCGACCGCCTTTCTTCCACTCAGTGATCATCTTACAATCTTAACAGAAGCATTGGAAAATGTTAGAGGAAATTCCAGTTCCCATGATTATCTCGTTATTTTTTTGGCTCACAAGGAAGGTCGCTTCACTTTTTGGTTCAGAAATTCCTGAAACTTGGTCAGATAACGATTCTGAAAGTGTCAACCTCCAAAAATTTTTAGTTTTCGAAAAATCAGGATTTAGCAGCCTATTTTAACAAATTTCGAGTTTTTTTGTTGACTTTGGTGCTTTCCAAAAAAAAGAGAATTAGAAAGTTTTGCAAGTTCATAGTTTCAAAATATTCTTCAAGAAGTGTTCTTTCCGATTTTCAGAAGATTCCCAACCGCAAATTCAAGTGAACCTCCTTGTCAGGACCATTGATTACATCATTATCAAAAATATAACAAGCATTACAAACATCAATAAGACAATAATCAAAGTAAAAATGCCGCAAACCAACAGCATGGCCAGCAAAATCAAGAAACAGCAGTCAAAACCGTGCAAAGACCTTTACTGTCGATAAAAATAGACAATCATAAAAAAATCCCATATTATTCCACAACTATTTTTTTTTTTGTAATGTAAGAGGTACAATTATAGACATAGTTCAATGATAAATTCAGTTCTTCTTCGACTTTTTCTTCTTCTTCTTGGACTGTTCTTCCGCTTCCTCCTGTGCCAGTCGAGCCTTGGCGGCTGGGGTCAAGATAGCATTGGGATAGTTTTTCGGATTGAGACCCTTGACAGAAAATAGCCGCGCGGCTCGTTCCGAAAGCGATCCGCCGCATTTCAATTCACGTTCTGAAAGAGGAAAAGAGTTTGTGGAGATCATAATGAACGTATAAAATGGAGAGAACAAGAATAAAAACAGTTTTCATAGGAGTTGGAAGGAGCATCGAAAAATCAAACAAAGGTCTCAAGGCGAAGAGCCATTTTTTATATTATTTTTTTGGTAATCAAAAAAACTTTTTTTCGCCTTCAAAAAGCCTGGGAAGAGTTCTTCAACGAAAAAGGCAAAAAAATAACCTCAGCCTTCAAAAATCAAATCGTACTTCAAAAAAATAAAAATTTTTTTAAAATTTTATACAAAGTCATGCAAATTTTTCCACGCCTTCAACAACTTCAGCAAGGATTTCTAAATGAATATCCGAAAAAAATTTCACGTCAAAGGAGTATAAAAACCATCAAAAAAACAAATATTATGTTTTTTTCTTTCCTACAAACCTGTCAACGCGCTCTTCAAATGTTCCAATCCCAACAGTTCCAAATCGCCGGCACTCGAGAAATCATCCAAATTCACTGGCGGATATTCACAAGGCGTTTTCTCATCAATTTTCGGCAGGTCGTCAACGTTTGCAGCGCTCTGAAATAGAGAAACTTCGAATTAATCGTTAACAATTGTCTTAGAAAAAAAGTAAGAGTTCTTCATTACTAGATTTCTATTACTTTTTTGAAAAATGAGAAAATATTAAAATATTGTGCGCCATCGCCTATTTATTCGCCACGGGACCTTAGGTTCCGCGAAAGTGATGCTTTTAAAAAATGACAAAAAAGAAGAAACCATAAATTTTTGAGAGAATCGGATTATTTGAAGCTTTCTCGATCCGAATCCTCACATACCTAGTTGCAAGAAAAAGCCATTTTTTTCGAGGAGAAAAATCTTTTCGAGGAAAAAATTGAAAGCCACGATTTGATCTTCATAGCATTGCTATTAATTTTTCGGCAGAAAGCGAAAAAGTACTCTAGTTCAAAGTTTGCAAGTGCAAAAACGATCTTCCCATTCAGGAATTCGAAAATAAAACAAGTAAATACCTAATTTTCCCATTTCAAAACGACGCCTTTCTTTTGAACTGTAAAAACCCTTGTTTTGGCTCTTTTCTTCCCTCAATTCATCCTACTAACATCAGTACTCATTCTGGGATGTCCTTCAGCTTCAATTGGCCTGTCGACTTCGCTCGGCGTCGGATGGACTTCAGAATCGACGCCATTTGACGTCGTCGCGTCCTCTTTCGCCTTGTTGTCGAAATATTCTTTGAGAGCCGCGATCTCCTCGGCAGAAATCTCATTTTCTTCCGAGTCCGTGTCGCTGTCGTCTTCATCATCCCTGTAAAATCAAGATTAACTGATGAATTTCACAAATTCAGTTCGAAAGTCTTTTCGCCCTTCGAAATTGTTCAAAGAACATCATGAAAAGCTTTTCGGGTTTTTGTATCACTTAGTTTTTCGAATTCTCAAAATGTGATCATTTCTGAAATGATCTCAGCAATCTATGTCTGCCGCTTAAGAAATAAGGTTCGAAGAGAAAAAAATACGTTTAGTGATTAAAAAAAATGAAATTAATATTTTCAAACATACTTCGACGCTACTTGCTATAAATTTCAAAAATGGCCGAAAATATCTTATTACCTTGAAAGACGATGGAGTCACTATGAGGCCGTTATAAACTACTTCTCAAAAACAATTTGAAAGCTGTTTATTACTGATCATCAATGTTCAATTGGTAAACTTTCAAAATAACTGATAAATATATTAAAAAATTCCCAAAGCTCTTCAAAATTTGTTCGAACCAGTTTGATCTAATTGAAACATTTAAAATGGCAAATGAACAAGAAAAAAAATATCACTTTATAAATTTATTTTTTTCATTAGACAAAATAGACAATAATATCCAGAAATTCCCCGGAAATTCCCCGTTTCCGGTCCCTATATTTTTCAAACTTGGTTCATCCTTACTTCATTCTCTTCTCAGCGTTATCATCAACCGTCGGATCCTCAATTTTTCTCTTTCGACCGCCGCGCGAGTTGAACAAGTCCTCAACGTCTTCTGAAACGAAAATTCTTCATTTTCTTCATTTTTCTACAAATTCTACCGTCAGAATCTTCGCTGTCATTTTCCAGGGCGACTTTTTCTCCATTCGCCTGTCGCTTCTTGTCTCGCATTTCCTTCATGTAGGCGAATCCTTAAGAAAATCGGATGATTGAATATTTTCTCTCTAATTTCATGCCCACCAGCCTCACAGGCGTCCTCCGTCTTTTCCAGGATCTCGTCTCGCTTCGAAATGTAGTCAGGATCGTTGAAATCGTGTTTGCCTGGCCCAGCCGTTAATCTTTCCAGTTTGGCTTGTCTTAAAACGAATCAAGTTATGAAATTTGAGAAGGCTTATCAAATTACTTTATTGTTTATAAAAAATCGAAGTTATGGTTTTTTTGAACCAGAAACTAGCTATAAAAGTTCATGAAATTTTTGAAAAAAATGTTGAATTAACTAAAAAAAGCAAAGAAAAAGTTTGTCTTTGACTGTTTGAGATGAAAAAAACTTCACAAGAACTATGAGAGGATTACCAACCCCAAAAATAACTTGTTCATAAAATAAAATAAACTACATAGTTTCCTCAAAACTCGCGATTTTTGCTCAGCAAAGTAGAAAAATAATAAAATTGCCTCATTTTTTTGCTAAGAATCTCTTTGCTTTGAAATATAAAAACTGTATGATTTATTCGAATTCCCACCTTTTTGGCCCTCCGCTCTTGATCTTTCCTGGCGGCCCGTTCCAAGTGTTTCTTCAGCTTGTTCTCCTCGTCGATAGAGGCCAACCTTCGCCCGTTTAAGTCCCGCATCATCAATTGATTTGTACTTTTTGTTGACTCGGAACGATCGCAGCAGGGAGCCGAAGCCTTGAAAAAAACAATAAATATTAAATTTTTTTAGATTTTTTTCTCATCGAGTTTCAAAAAAAAGTAATTCAACATTTATGCTATTTGAGGATATTGGCACTTATTTCCTTTACTACCCACTACGGAATGTTTCACTGAATCCCGCTAAATTTATTCGTTCTTTTCGAATTATGTATCAGCTTCAGATTCCTTACCTCCTTTGCCTCCCCTCATCCGGATGTGGAAGGAGAAGCTGACGTGCTCATTTTCGGGCAGCTGTCGGACCTCCTCGATGAACTCGCCAAAGTTCTGGACGACCCTGCCGGCGCTGGTGACGTAGTAGATGCTCGGGTCGATCTTCATGATGAACTCGATGACGTCGGCGTCGTAGATGTAGTAGCGAGGCCGGTCGGGGAAGGTCTCCCGGCCGCCGGGCAACGGCGCCGGCAGACGGATCGGCGAGTCCGGAGGCTGGATGTCCTCGTCGTCGGACGCCGTGATGGGCAGAGAGTCGAGCGAGGTGCTGGAGGCGTCGTCGAAGATGACGAGGTCGCCCCGGTCGAACGCCTCCTCCATCTCCAGCTCTTCCAGGTCTTCTGCATTCTTTTCCTCGTGACGTGCGTCTTCGCCGCCCATTCTGAAAACCACTCCATCTCTCAGTTTGAAGTGCAAAAAACATTTTTAATAAAAATTCGAGGCAAGCTATCAACATGAACGTTTACGCATCGTAAAACCGAGGACTCAAAAAAAAAAATTCCCTATTTATTTTTCTCAACAGTGTCGGTCTACAAGACACTCATATCAACATCGTTCAGGTTTACTCAGAACTCATTTACGAAGCGTAAACTTTCGTGTTTACGGCGTTAACACTGAAATAGGATGCGATCGGTGAAAAAAACGTTGAAAAATTACTTCAGAGATTTTTTTAACTAATTCGGATAATATTTGAACTTTCTGCGATATTTCAACCAATATTGAGGAGAAAACACGAGGTGGAAAAATCGAAAAATTGAATCGTAATTTTTGAAAACGCTTATTTGATACATCGTTTCATGAATCCTATAAAAAGTACAACTTGAAAAACTATAACTACAATGCAAAGATTCCGAAAGAACGCAGGAAAACTGATTTCCTCAAAAACTTCAGAAAATTGTGAAATTTTTCACAATCTGATTTTTTCGGGGTGGCCCCCACAAAAAAAGCTTATTGACGGATGTCTCAGGTTGAAAAAAGAATTGCCAACACCTTGAAGTGGCAGAAAAAAACAGAAATCATATAAACAAAAGAAAAATCACAAAAGGATTGAAAAAACGATAAAACATTTGGTTTCAAACCAATGAGAAATCACACGAAGAAAGACGAAAAATGCATAAATTTTTATTTTGATTAGTCTTTGATACAATTAAAATGAACAAGAAAGGCTATAACCCGTACATAAAATTATTTTAAATACATGTTTCGAAGAAGCAATTTCAGATAACAATATCACAGGCGACCAATTGATTATCGCCGTAAATCAACTCTCCATGAGAACTTTGTTCCGAAACGGTTGTACCTCTAAAAATAAATCGTATATTTTCGTAAGATTTCTCGAGAAACTAACTTCACTTTCTCTGTGATCTGAAGATCCAATTTGGGCCTTTTCGGTTCGGGGTCACCTGAAGAAACGGAGATTCTCATCGATTTCTTGGAATCGTATAAAATAACTTTTACAACGGTTTTGAAAAACTATATTTAAAGACAATTTTCTCGGAATGTTAGTTGGACCAACGAGAATACAATAATCATCAAAGTTTTATGAAAACCTTGAAACGGCAAAAAATTCTCGAACAGTTTTTTTTTTCTGTTTGATTTCACTGGTACCTGTCTCCGTTTTTTTCTTTTTTTCAGATATCAAGACGGGGAAAATAATATTCGAAAATCATTGAAATACTTCTCGAAAACCGTTTTTCTAAGTGAAAAAAGTTCCAATCATTCTCCGCAAGTCTTAAAAAAATTGAAAAAAATAAATGTGAATGAAAAAAAGCTAGATAAAAAAATAAGGAAAGTTGCCAGTTTTTTTGACGGCACAAAAAGGAACTTCGATAAAAGTAAAAGTTAATGGAGATTAGAGAAGAAAAAAAGTTTTATTATATTAAAAAAAGAAAAAAACCAAGAAAATGCCCACTTACATCTGATTTTTTTGATTGTAATTTTTTTGTTAAACACACAAAAAAAGAATATCCAAATAAAAATCACAATGAAAAAAACCTCAAAACAAACCCGAATTCCTATTCAAACTATCATCGCCACAGACGTCGACCTTCACGAATTCTTCCAAATTTCCAATTCTTGAATTCAAAACTTTCTCAAGGATTTCGGAAGTCGATGGAAGACAATCAGATAACGGTGCTAATCGCACCTTCTTCTGAAAATTCAACTTTTATAGATTTATAACTTCTATTTTTAACTTGGCTTTTGGGCATCTCATGAGCTTTTTCTTTTACTTGTTGCTTTTCCACCTTCTCGACGGCCAATAAAAACGTGTCTTCAGGGGTCCATTTCTGAAATCAAACAAGGTTGGTAAACTTCCTAAAGAGGCAAAACTACTTCATGATGAAACACTGAGCCAAAATCTTCGAAACAGCAAGAAAAATTTCTCAAAAAAGCTTCATTCACAGAGTCTTCGAAGACCCTCGAAAATTGTTTCGAATCAAAAATAATAATTTAAAGTTTTTCAAAGCTTGAAATTCTCTATTTTAAAACAGTTCCTTCTCAAATGGGAATAATCAAGGCAGGGGTCAAAAAAAAAAAAAAAACACTAAAAAGTAGGCTTTTTTTCTATCAAAATAACTTCCAATGTCAAATTACTCTTTTACTCTACCTTTTTAAGTTTTTGCCGCAATGCGGCCCGTTTCAAAAACGGCGTTCGGTTAATAACACACGTCACTCGACGCTTTTGGCTTGCGTCCAACTTCAGAGGCACTGAAAATCACACTTTTTTGGAACATTAAAATCGTCGAAACTTACATTTTTCGACAACTTCCGTCAAATCACTTTCCGTTGTTTCTGACGGGGACTCGGTTATCGGGAATGGTAGTTTTAGACTGTCCTTGAACAAATAGTTCTTGAGATGAATACAAAAGTTTTTCAAACTTTTAAATACGATAGTTTCGCCCTTAAAATCGCGGAATCCACAATATCGCGCCCGGTACAAAAGTGCTCAGCATTGAAAGGATGCTCAGGATTTTCCTGTAAAATTAAATAAAATTTTTATCTTTTTTTTCAGAAAACCTTGATGATATCCTTATCAATGTGAACAAGCGGAATTTTCCGATCAGCCACTGGTTTCCCCTGAAATTTTGATGAAATCCCAGAAAAATAATAAATTTCCCACATCTTTCTTCATTTGATCACGGAGCTTCATACAATGTACACATTTCCATGACACTAGGCCATCTGCCTGAACTCATCATAAATTCCAATAGAATAAACTACGAAAAAACCTTGAATTTGGCAGATACTATAAACTCGTAGACACGCGACTTGTGTTCACGGCTTTCCCATAAAAAAACAAGATTCTTCTTAGAACGGCCATTAACGTACTCGGCCTTGCCGAACTCTATAGACATCTGGAAAGGGCTAACATGAAAGTAAAAAAAAAACTCCATGAAGTACCTGTTCAATAATTGAAATAAAACGGACGACCAAATTTACAGAAGCAACGTAGCAAAAAACCGTTTATAAAAGAATTTTTGTTGAAATTCGAAGCTAAGCAAACTACGACAAGAAATTTTTAGCAGACTGCCCAAAACAAAAGATTCGCAATGAACTTTTAATAGTCATGAAATTGCTAACTATTGAGCGAGTAATGAATCGAAAATACGCGTAACCCGTGACATTATCCTACTAAAATTCTAAGCAAGTTAAAAAGGTTAAAAAGTAAATTCAAACTTTAAAAGATAGTGAGAACCGCAAAAAAGAAAAAAATTTCGCCATCATGTGATTGCTCGTCGCAGTGTGCTTTCCAATGCGTCTGTAACGCTCACAGTAATCCAAATAAAAAAAATGTTTTATTGCCTTTTAAATTTAACTTTTTTATGAGAACTAAACCAGGTTATTTTGGTGTGCATAATACACCTACAAGCGGTATCTCCAAATATTCTTACATCTATGATCAAATTCATCGCTACAAATTCAAGCTACATTCCACCGTTTTTTTTCATCAATTTTCACCCAGCCCAGAAAACGTTTCTCGAAAGTTAGGCATTTTATGTCTAAGAAGTAAGAACTCTTACAATGACAAAGAGGTAGAAAGATATATCCACAAAAAAGTTCACTAGATTTCGGCTCGGTAATTCCCTTCTCCAACACATCCTTCAATAATTTCTTTTCTCGAATTTCCCATCTCTTCCTTCATTTTCCAGCACTTTACTTCTTCTTCTTTCTTGCTCTTCAACACAATAAGACTATTTGGATCGAGCCCGGCGACAATTTTATATTTGAATAGAAGTCTCCACTGAAAAAAGGACATAATATGCACAAAAGGAAAAGAGAAATTGGATGAAAAAACGAGCAAAGATGGCAGATGTTTCGGATAAAGTCTTGATGGTCTTGGTTGGTGTGTCTCGATGATGGTACAATTGTGTGTTTTTTTCTGATCTTATTGATATTCTATGCGCGACGAAGTAGCACAAAAAAAAGGTGGAACAAAAAGAAAACATAAAAAGATGTTGTATTGTACGAGGTGGTAATGATGGTGATGTTGAAGCGCTTAGAAGCACTTGCGGTGGACGATGGATGGGCCGGACTCGTCGTACTCCTGCTTGGAGATCCACATCTGCTGGAAGGTGGAGAGGGAGGCGAGGATGGATCCTCCGATCCAGACGGAGTACTTGCGCTCAGGGGGAGCGATGATCTTGATCTTCATCGTGCTGAAAAACCAAACAGTTGTACTTGGAGCTGGAGGATCTCAAGCTTACCTGGGAGCAAGAGCAGTGATCTCCTTCTGCATGCGATCGGCGATTCCGGGGTACATGGTGGTTCCTCCGGAAAGAACGGTGTTGGCGTACAAGTCCTTACGGATATCAATGTCGCACTTCATGATGGAGTTGTAAGAGGTCTCGTGGATTCCGGCGGATTCCATACCCAAGAACGAGGGCTGGAACATGGCCTCTGGGCAACGGAAGCGCTCGTTTCCGACGGTGATGACCTGTCCGTCGGGAAGCTCGTAGGACTTCTCGAGGGAAGAGGAGGAGGCGGCGGTGGCCATCTCCTGCTCGAAGTCGAGGGCGACGTAGCAGAGCTTCTCCTTGATGTCGCGGACGATTTCTCGCTCAGCGGTGGTGGTGAAGGAGTAACCGCGCTCGGTGAGGATCTTCATCAGGTAGTCGGTCAAGTCACGGCCGGCCAAGTCGAGACGGAGGATGGCGTGGGGGAGAGCGTATCCTTCGTAGATGGGGACGGTGTGGGTGACACCATCTCCGGAATCGAGGACGACTCCGGTGGTACGGCCGGAAGCGTAGAGGGAGAGGACGGCCTGGATGGCGACGTACATGGCGGGGGTGTTGAACGTCTCGAACATGATCTGCAACAGCATTCTTCTTGGATTAGGTTCCAGGGCTGCAGATCTACCTGGGTCATCTTTTCTCTGTTGGCCTTGGGGTTGAGCGGGGCCTCGGTGAGGAGGACAGGGGTGCTCTTCTGGAGCAACACGGAGCTCGTTGTAGAAGGTGTGGTGCCAGATCTTCTCCATGTCGTCCCAGTTGGTGACGATACCGTGCTCAATCGGGTACTTGAGGGTCAGGATACCTGGAAAGACCGAGTTATCATCAGAATCTCTTCCGAGCCTTGCCTCTCTTGGACTGAGCTTCGTCTCCGACGTACGAGTCCTTCTGTCCCATACCGACCATGACACCCTGGTGACGAGGTCTTCCGACGATCGACGGGAAGACGGCGCGAGGAGCGTCGTCTCCGGCGAAGCCGGCCTTGCACATACCGGATCCATTGTCCACAACAAGAGCGGCTACCTCGTCGTCGCACATCTTTGGATTTAGTTAATACCTGGAAGAAACTATGTCAGTAGGGAGCTAAGCTACGAGGAGCGGAGGAACAACGACGCGAACGTAAAGAGCGAAAGTGTGGCAATGGCAGAAGCCTCAGCGGCAGCAGGAGGCACACAGTTTAACACGAGCACATGTGCCCACTCTTCCTCTTCTTCGCCCCCGAGTTCCAAGAAAACCGCGGCTTGAGTCAAGAGGCGGCGAGGCTGTCGTGCCAGTGAGAGAGAGAGATAGTCTGATAGAGTGGTATGATCGGAAACCTTGACTTTTTCGAGCTTTCGGAAAGAATTAAAAATCGTTTGATTCGATTTTTCGGACTTCAACTTCGTTTTTTTCAAAAAAATCGCTAAAAAATCATAAGGTTCTGATTTGCCGATATAAAAATTGTTAAGCGCAATTCAAGAATGAAAGATGCGGAAAATGGCTTCGAAAGATTTCTGAGAAAAAGATAGCTCTTTTAAGTACTAACATCGCCCAAAACTATGAATAATTAAAATGTAAACTTCCATTAACTGAGTGAACCTACTTAACTGTCAATTTTTCGATTTGAAAAATAAAACTTGAGCTTTAAAAAAATTGTTCATAAGGAGCCTCTACCTCCAACAAAATTCATTCAAGATTACTAAATCTCCAAATCAAATCAAAAAGGTCTCCAAAAAGTACAACAATCTCCAAAAAAAAAGGTGCAATAAAAATGAGCCAGAAGGGCGCAACGGGACGGTCCGTCGCACGCATTTGGGCTCAAGGCAAACAGAAAATGGTCGACCACCGACGGTGGGGGCGGACCACAACTCGAAGAAATTCTTGGAACGGCGCTGCTTGCTCACCTCGCCCGACGGCCTCTCCGCAAAAGAAACAAAGGATTTTTCCAACGCAACACTTTTCTTTTTTCTTGGAACTTTCAGAAACATTTTTAAGAAGTTTATCAATGATTTCTGAGCTTTCTTCGCTGGTAACTTTAAAATAAGAAAGGCTTTAAAGTTCAAAGATTCTCCTAATCTTCTCCGTAGCTTCTCGGAGAACAGATCGTAATGGCAACAGGCGCGTCCACATGCCAAAAAGCCGAGCCGCGGTGTAAAGCCACCCTGATCTTTGCATTGTAGCAGAAAGGAACTAGCAAACTAATGATCGGATCGCTCAAGAAAACAGTTAGCGAGCTACATTCAATAAAGATTCTAGGCTTGGAATGCTAGAATCAGCTGAATTTCTTTTTTTATCAAAAAATTAGCGAGATCTTTAGGCTTAGCTATATTTTGTTCCACAGCTTGTCCAAGATCTTTTCAAGATGGAGCTCTAGCCGAATCTCATTACGAAAACAGGATCATGAATCAATATGGATTTAAGAAGTTACAGCTTGTTTTGAAGATTGTAGAAAGCACTATTTCTCTAAATCTCAACAGTTCTAGACTGTTTCAAGCTTGAGCCCCTTCTGAAGACCAGACTAAGTTCCAACTTAACTCTTAACTTAGAAAAAATAGTGGAGCTGCTCAAAATAAATACAATAAGAAGTTTCCGCTTAGTTCGAAAGACTTTTTAAAAATCTGGCTTGTTCCGAGAGACTAGACAAAGCTTAAGCCCATTTCAAAAACTAGAAAAAGCGGAAGCTCGTTTCAAAGACTGTATCAAGCTGAAAGCTCCTCAGAAAACCAGAAGAAGCTGAGGCTCCATCCAAAAGACTTTTTCAAGCTGCAGCTTAATCTAGAACTCTAACTAAGCTCAAGTTCTTGAAAGACTGCACTAAGACAGAACAAGATAGAGTGATGAAAATCAAAAGAAAAGAAAAGGCCGAGCCAAAGCCGAGGCTCTTCCTTGCTACTGCTCCGGAGAGCTGCCAAAGTGGCCGACTGGCTGCGGCTCTCGACGACGGCAGTCCAGCCCACTTTTGCCATATTTCTAGGGGAGTCTCCGCCACGGTTTACACTCGCCGCTGGGGTGCACCACGGCAGTTGGAAGAAAAAAGCGGCGGCGGCGGCGAGGAGCGTCTAATAATACCACCTGTGATTCCGAGAACGATCAGAACAGATCCCCACACACACAAACACACCCTCCCCGACGCAGAGAGCAACAAAAAAACCTGAGCTCTCTCTCTTTCTCTTTCAAGTACTCGGGTTCGCAAAAGAGTGTAACTTTGCTGTTGATCAGTTAGTCTTTTCCGTGAATCCACCACCACCGCAGTTCCAAGATCAGTTTGGTTTTTTTCTTCCCCCTGTTGCGAGGCTTCTTCACGCCTCGCAGTTGTTTAAACTTATCTTAATTGTAGTTGGGTTGGAAAATATAGTGATTATAGAGACCGCCTTTACGACTTGAAAGCTTGAGACTATGAAAAAAAAATTAAATAATTGAAAGGGGCTAGAATGTCTTCAAGAGCTTCTACTGGATCAAACTTATAAAAAAAAATCAGTTATTGAGAAATTGTTTGTTTCAAAAAATTCCATAAAATGAAAAATTCGAAATATCCGTTGAAGTTAGTACTGCTTTAATGAATATGGCAATTTCAAATATGCTTAATATTTAATAGAGAAAAGATTCGATTTTCATTGAAAATGAGTTCCGACAGTTTTTCAAGCCAGAACTTTTAAGAAAAAACCATTTTTTTCTTTCCTTGATCAATTTTCAAATTTAAACATTTTTGAATCGTTACAATTTCCAAGAAATTGAAAAAGCGCCATGTTTCTCGGCCAATAGAGCAACATTTCCGGAAATAAATGGCAGGTGATTCATAAGAAACCGGCAATAAACATACAAGAACGTTTATTTTCAAAAAAGGGTTTTCTTTCACTTCCGAATTTCGTATAAACGAAAAACGATCTGTGTCATGATTTCTTAACTCATTCTGTGTACCATAATTGTTCACAGATCAATTCGCAAAGGGAAAAAAAAAAAAAAAACTCAAAATGAATCATAAAAAAATCTTTTAAAAATGTAATAAGAAAAAAAAAATTATGTTTGAAAGTCTGGTGCGTACTGCAGGAAACTGACGAGGAAAAAAAATTTTCAGAAAAAATGGACTAAACTCTGTGAAATCTGACTTTAACAGAACTTTTATCGTGTGAAAATTCAATAGTTTGTAGAAGCAGGAAGATTTTTTTATATTTCACTGTTGCCTTGAAAAATATTTTCAAAAAAAAACTTTTAATTAATTCAAAGGTCGATTCCCGCTTGGATAATCCATCAGAAGTTATACGGCAAGAGTTCCAACTACACATTGAAAAAATTCAGAAAGGTCTTTCAAAATCCTATCTAACGCCTTTTTTAGACCAATTTCCTTTTTTTCAGAGAATAGGACAAAAAAGTTGCTCAAAAAAGGGTTTTTGCGCCTTTTTAGGATAATCTAGAAGTGTTACGGACACCTTTCTATGAAGTTCACACGAAAAAGTCAACTTCAAAAAAAGTTGGTCCTGCACATTTTCCGTACTGATTTCTTTTCTGCCTTGTCTACACCAAACCATCAAACATAAAACCTCCGATCCCTCCAAAACCCGAAAAATAACCCGATTATCAACCATTCAGCAGAACTAAAACGGAAAAAAAGTCGTCTATAAACGCGGAAGGTCAACTCGTGGACGCACACAAAGACGATTGCCGTATATTCATCTCGACGGACGCTCCGAAAATCTTCTCTTTTTCGTTTGAAATGTCTCGCTTTTGAATGGGCAGCAGGAGATGGTCCACCATTTCCGACAAAGTGTTTTTGTTTGAATTCAGGTTCACTTGATCAAAATGGATGAGGTAACAAGGTGACCTTGTGTGAAAAATTCTCATTTTTCAAGGTTGATACTGACTCAAGTTGTTTGAAGATTGCTTCATACAAACAGCAAATTTTCCTATCCTTTTAAAAAGTATGATTACTTTTTTAAGGTGAAAATATAAGTTTTCAAAACTTCCGAAAACCTCTCCAATTTGTAATACCCACATAACTCGGTAACACCCACATTCAAAATAGGATGATTTAAAAATTTCCAAATAATGGTGAATCATTTTTAATACAATGAAAAACGGTTAAATTTCTTTGCTATGAGAACTGTAAAAATGAATCAAAGACCTCTTAATGCGGAACATCAGATGTTTGAGTCATCAATTGTTCACACGGTCTTTCGAAAAAACCTTTCGCAGTGAGGATAACTCAATAAAAACTGAAATCGATTTTCCAAACAGTTCAAAAACTCTACGAAATTCAATCTTCTGATAATCACAAAGAGTATAGTGGAAATCTCATTGCCCCTTTAAGTCCATAGTTTTTTTGAAACTAATCAATGAATCACCCTTCCTTCGTTTTGAAGAATGATCTCAAAACTATTTTTCCAAAATTTCTCAGTAGAACTGTAGAAATTCCTAGTTTCATCCCTCCAACTTCAAAATTTTAATTAAATAACGAATGAATCACCCTTCCTGTCTCGAAAAATGATCTCATCTCCTCTTTTCAACACTAACTTCAGAACTTTTTCAAATCTTCCTGTCCCCCGAAAAAAGCGCGCGAGGCGCCTCGAAAAAGGAAAAAAAATTCAAATGTCCAGCAAGGCCACGCACACTTCCACGCGCAGGACACTGGCCGTCGTCGTCGTTTTTTTTTTCTCTTCTGGTTCTTTCTCTCTGTCTCTCTGGGGGTCACGTCTTCTCCTCGCTCTCCACTCTCTCTCTCTCTCCGCGCACTTGGCCCTTCTCTCGATTCATTTCGAAATCTTCCGCCTCGACGACTCATCAGCTGAGCCATTCATAGGCTTATATTTCACACGATTTGAACCGTTTCCTGTGAATCAGACACGGAATCGGGTGATTTTCGATTTTGAAAGGGAAAAAGAACGACTCTGAAACGTCTATGGGCTCAATAATCATAACGGAAAAAGTATGTTGATGAACTTGATGAAAATTCGAGCCAATTCACTGCGCAAAACAGTATCAAATTTCAAAACACTGAAAAAAACATCTTCTCTGATTTCCATGAAACATGTGAACTCTGTTCCCAACTAAATCTTCCACCTATCATTTTGAAATTTCGAGAATATTGGTGATACAAGTCGAACTTTTTCGAAAGTCTTGATGAATGGTAAAAGATAAAATTATGCGGAAGTCAGGGGTAGTCACTGAAGGCTTGAAAAAATTGAAAATCAGTAGAAAATATTCATACAAAAAACAGGTTTAGAGACCAAGCCACTTTTAAAAAGATTACCGCAGTTTCGATTTCATTCTCGACATAAAATTTTTGAATGGTTTCCAGAGGCCAGAGAAGCTGTGAAACTCAGATTATTCGCATCAAAAACATGGAAAAGCTACCAAATCCCAAAACAAGCCTCCCAATTTAGTATTATCAAGCTTAAAAATCTGAGTAAGACCCTTTCTCTTCAAAAACTTATAATAACTTTTTTGAAAAAATTCTATTTATTCTGCTTTAAATCTTCGATCAAGTCTTTCTGAACCCCTCGTTACTTCCAAAATATACGAATGCTTAACCGGAGACAGAGAGTCCGACCTCACTCCAGATGGCCGCCGCTGCCATTTCAAAACCGGCAAAAAAGAGAATGTTGTGGGCAGCGAGCCACGCGAACACGTGGAGACGCAGAGAAGCGATGGGGAGAAATTTTGGCGAGTAAAAACTGAAATGTCAACAACGGTACGTGTGGACAACCGTGACATATGTGTGCGTGAGTAGAAAATTTGTCCGATTTGAAAAAAAAGGTCGTGGGTCGGTTATGAAAGAGATTTGAACTGAGGCAAAGTCCAAATATTTAAAAAATTTCAAAAAGAAGGATTTTTGAGAACTCAAATCTTTAATCTCGGTACTCAGGATTTTTTTAACAATACTTTTACTCCTATCTGAAAAAGGTTTTGTGAAGTGTCCCCGATTTCAAACAGCTTTCTGGAACGGAAAATGCAGCTCCTTTTCAAACCTAGACGTTCTTGGAAAAAAAAACCTTGAAAAATATAGTTTGATTCCGGTCAAACATTCTTCATCATTTTCCACTTGCAAAAACCTTTCCCGAAACATCTTTGATTTGAAGCCCCCATAGACACTAAATCACTACACCTTCTCAAGAATTCATTGCACGACCGACGCGGAACATCAAGTATTCAAAACTAGTCTCGAAATCCGGAATTTCAAATGTTTAAAGTAATATTGAATAATGGAACGGGTTTTTCCGTTTAAAAACTAGATATGAGATGGAAAGGTAAGCTGAAAACAGCTGAAGTTCAAATTTCTCAAAAAAATTAATTTAATCCAAACTATGGTGCATTTTTAAGATTTTTCTCAACTATGGTGCAACTATAAATAACATCTTCAATATGTTTGCAGAATCTAAAATCCTTTATTTTAACCGACTCCAAATCAAGAAATCCCCGGATCGATTCGGAACCTAACCCAAATGCCGGTCCGATGAAAAGAAGCGAAAAAAATAGATATATACGAACGTTTATTTGCGTTCCGGCGGTCGCCTAATGCCACCGCCCAATGGGCAAACACGACGAAACGTAATCGCCCAGTTGTAGTAGTTCTTGGAAGAAGGAAGAAAAAAACTGCTTCTTAACCATGAGGGTAAACTAACTTTACTCAGACCATCATTTATTTACCCAACTACTTGGAACATGCAGGAAAAATGATTTTTTTTTTTCTTACTTTTTTTTACATTTCTCGCTCACTAATCATAGTTCTTAAGCCAATATTCATAGATTAGAAGATTTTTCCTATTAGAATAAAAACATTTTAAAAAAGCGTGAAATTTTGAGTCAAGGATGGAATAAATTGATTGGAACTCAAGCTTCATTTTTCAAAAAACTGCCCATTTTCTGTAGAGCAGCGAAAATCTTTTCTTTTCTTAAATACCACGCTCTTGCTTAAACTTGCTTTTGAATGATCTCTGGCTCAAATCGAAATTCAGATAAACTCTAAAATTTTCTTTCCAATCAACTTCCCCGATTTTTATTTCAAATTACCCCAGTTTATTTTTTCAAAACCTACTGCAGGAGAAAAAACTTGCAGATTCCCTCTTTCCCATCAGAAAAAAAATGTAGACCTAACGGCGCAAAAAAAAAGAAAGAAAGTTCAAAAAAATGAATCACAAAAGTGGCGTCCGTTCGTCCCTCGCCAGGCCCGTTCTCAAAACAAAAAGAGGAAAAAATGGAAATGTTCTTTCTCCGAAAGGTTTTTGTTAGATTTGAATCGAAATTTTTGAAAATTCAGCGCTATGTACACTAGATGATGAGTGATGTGCGATAGGAAATGGACTGATTAAAAAAATAACGTTTTCGAAAAAAATAGGGGACCTTTTTTGGCTTTTCAGACCTTTTCTGAACTTTTTCCAAGCCTTTCTGTTATGAAGATCTCCTTACTCTTTTAAAAAGTATAACCCGACGAAAAAAAATTATAAAAAGGCGCTAGAAAAATTTCTAGAAGGACTTTACCCAAAAATTTTTCCAGTGTATCTAAATTATTCAACTTTTTTTGAGCTGGAGTGCAGACTATTTTTAGAATTATCTTCCTCGTGGCGAAAAAAAAGAATCAACACTTTTTGCTGGTGTGGATCTGCTCGGCAGGACAATTTGTCAACTCCTCTGTGGTTTTCAGGAATCGCAGCGAGGTGGACAGCTGTTCGGGTTTAAATGAGCGGCGGAAAATAGTTTTTGGGTGGGTGGATGTTGAGATCGAAAAACGTTCGTCCTTGGAACAAGTTCTGTGAAAATATCTTGATTTTTACAAATAATATACAATCTCGAAACACTCTTTTTTTTAAAGCGAAGGGCTTCCGGCGAGAGTCAGCAAAACAGCAAATAATATATGAAGTTATTCACTTTCCGTCCTGTTTTTAAACGGGTCAACGTGAATATTTTCGTTCTATAGTCCAAACTCAATATACTACAAGTTATTTTCCGTCCAAGCATTTTATTGAAAAGAATTATCCCAAGCTCCCCTGAACCGTGAAATCCCAAAACGTCTGCTTTTATTAAAATACTTTTACCAATTTTATCATACAAGCCTGTTTAGCTTTCAATAATTGGAAGAGGAATCAATAATTTTAAATTCTTCTTGACAAATCTTCCGGAAAATCGTCAACCACTAGCATGATTCAAACTTCCTCTACGAATCAAATGAATAAAGAGTTAAGGCATTTAAAATCGAAGAGCAAACGATTTTTTTTCAATCGCTGAAAATTTTAAAAGAAATGACCCGGAAAAATTCTGTTCACAGCTTTTCCCACATTAGCCACTTCATGAAAGCTGGCGATTTCAAATTATTAAAAAAATGATCAAGTAAACTTCAATTCAAATTGAAACCAAATAATCAATTTATCGAAGCCTTCCAAAAGTTATAAAAACCTTCTGGCAGTCAATCCACATAAGAAAACCAGCAAAGACTTCTTTTTTTCCTATTATCTCGGCAACTTCTCTCTCAAATCGCAATCGCGAACCAAGTGATAAGTGATCGGCGATCCCTTGCGTCACAAAAAAGCGCACATGCAGCACCCAGAGAGTGGGTGCCAGTTGAAGAGCTCAAAGACTCTCGCGATTCCTCGAATTCGCATTGTAAACACACAGCACAGCCGAGTGCAAATGGTCCCGACCGAGAGAACTTTTTTTTCGTTGGTGTGGTTCACCCACCACTCGCTTTTCACGCCTCCTTTTTTTGGCGCCATTCCAAGGAAGTGACGAAGCGACATAAAAGGCGCGTACTCGTCGACGGCCTAGTACCGGCCCGACGATTCATAGGTCGGAAAAGGGCTCTGACTCAACAGCGTTACGCAAGCCAAAACTCTCGACTCATTTATATGAATGCTAATTTGCGACGTTCCAATTAGACTGACCTCTCTCAGCACTGGCTTTATTATATTGATCCCAATAAGCGTCGTTCCACTTCGTTAGATTTTCGATGCCAAAAGACTTCCAATAAACTTAATCGTGATTAATTTCAAATTTATCCATAGCAAAGGTACACAGAAAACCGATAAAAACACGGAAACAGTTATTGTACTTCAGATTTTTTTTTTCCAAAATTTATTATGCAAGCAGAATAGATTAAAACGATCGGCAAAAAATCCGTAAGGCAATGACGTGGGGTGAACGGTTCCAAAAATAATCGAGTTAAAGTGTTAAAGTTAACAACAAAAGCACAAATAATTTAGAAGCACTTGCGATGAACAATGGATGGGCCGGACTCGTCGTACTCCTGCTTGGAGATCCACATCTGCTGGAAGGTGGAGAGGGAAGCGAGGATGGATCCTCCGATCCAGACGGAGTACTTGCGCTCAGGAGGAGCGATGATCTTGATCTTCATCGTGCTGAAAAAGAAGTTATGATGATGTGAGCTGAGAATCTAAAATTTACCTGGGAGCAAGAGCGGTGATCTCCTTCTGCATACGATCGGCGATTCCGGGGTACATGGTGGTTCCTCCGGAAAGGACGGTGTTGGCGTACAAGTCCTTACGGATGTCAATGTCGCACTTCATGATAGAGTTGTAGGAGGTCTCGTGGATTCCGGCGGATTCCATACCCAAGAAAGAAGGCTGGAAGAGAGCTTCTGGGCATCGGAAGCGCTCGTTTCCGACGGTGATGACCTGTCCGTCGGGAAGCTCGTAGGACTTCTCGAGGGAAGAGGAGGAGGCGGCGGTGGCCATCTCCTGCTCGAAGTCGAGGGCGACGTAGCAGAGCTTCTCCTTGATGTCGCGGACGATTTCTCGCTCAGCGGTGGTGGTGAAGGAGTAACCGCGCTCGGTGAGGATCTTCATCAGGTAGTCGGTCAAGTCACGGCCGGCCAAGTCGAGACGGAGGATGGCGTGGGGGAGAGCGTATCCTTCGTAGATGGGGACGGTGTGTGTGACACCATCTCCGGAATCGAGGACGATACCAGTTGTTCTTCCCGAAGCGTACAGAGAAAGCACAGCTTGAATGGCGACGTACATAGCAGGCGTGTTGAACGTCTCGAACATAATCTGAAAAAAATGTTTACGTTAGTCATTAGTTTCTTGTTTTTATAAGATCAAAAAAATTTTTGAATTAACAAATTTTTACCTGGGTCATCTTTTCTCTGTTGGCCTTGGGGTTGAGCGGGGCCTCGGTGAGGAGGACGGGGTGCTCTTCTGGAGCAACACGGAGCTCGTTGTAGAAGGTGTGGTGCCAGATCTTCTCCATGTCGTCCCAGTTGGTGACGATACCGTGCTCAATCGGGTACTTGAGGGTCAGGATACCTGGAAAGACCGAGTTATCATCAGAATCTCTTCCGAGCCTTGCCTCTCTTGGACTGAGCTTCGTCTCCGACGTACGAGTCCTTCTGTCCCATACCGACCATGACACCCTGGTGACGAGGTCTTCCGACGATCGACGGGAAGACGGCGCGAGGAGCGTCGTCTCCGGCGAAGCCGGCTTTGCACATTCCGGATCCATTGTCTACAACAAGAGCAGCAACGTCGTCGTCACACATTTTGATTTAGGGGTTACCGGCAACACTGAAAAAGTCATTGTTATCAATAGAACAAATGAGCTTATTCAAAAAGCAAACACGTTACGATAAGACCAGAAATGCGTGAAAAGAGGCGGAAGAAGGCGGGCCAGCGAACCAAACGTTTTTTCTGCCCCTTTTGGAAAAGGATCGATACTCGCCATGCAGGACGAACGCGTACCAGCGAAGAAAAAAAAATGGGGCATTGGGAGAGAGGCGACGCAGATGGACGGAAAAAACCCCGTTGATCGTGTCGGAATATCACTTTGAACATTCTACAATGCATTCTGCTGACTTGAAACAGAAATATGAATGATGATGCAAAAGTCGAATTTGGGCCTAAAAAATTTGAATTCCTTAGTTTAAACTGGTGTTGATGTGCTAAAATTCAGCAGAAAAAAGAGTAGGGCAACAAAAATTTCAGAAAATCTAATGGTAAAGTCAAATTAAGAAAAATGGAAGGAAAAATCGGAAAGACGACGTGGAGAGCGGTCGAAAAAAGGAGATGTGGATGGAAAGAACGCGAAGAGGGCGGTCCGCGCGCGAAATTCAAATTCTGACCGCGCGCCAATCTCCGTGGAGCATCATTGAGGATTTGACCAATTTCGGTAATTTTACAAATTTTGTCATCATTTTTCTTTCCTCTCATTGATTCGGCGGTTGAAGACGTGGATCTTTTGTTCGATTGCTTGCAGGGGTCAGAAAAGGTTGGCTTTTCTTTCTCTCAATGATAATTTAGATAATATCACTATTTCTTGAGAAATCGATTTACTTTAAAAAAATAAAATTTCCTCTCCAAGCCTAATTCTCGGAGATTATTACGAATTTTTCTCGTAATTGATAAGATCTCACTGATATGAGTATCGTAAGAAAAACACAGAGTAAACATTGATAAGGAAGCAACGCTGGAATTTTTTTCAAGTTTTTGAGTAGGTTTTTTTCTGAAAGACTCCCGAGTTTTTTTCAAATATTTTTTTGAAGGTAAAATTATTGTATTTAGAAAAGCTTCGATTCAGAGGAAAAATCGTCTGGTTTGAAGTTGAATTTTTTTACAATTTCTAATTTTTTTAGAAATTTAGAATATATAGGACAGAATGTCATTATTTTCATCCAAGTTCCAGAAAAAATATGAATAGAATGCGTAGAAATTAGTATGGGGATGCGGAAATTTTTTTTCTTAAAAAGCGTTTTAGAAAAGTTAGATGTAGAAAATTGTAATGCCGTGTTCAAAGTAATTTCCGCGAAATGCAAAATGATCTCTGACTCTCCAAAATTTAGTGATCTTTTCCTTTCTGTAACGGGTATTTTGCATTTCGCGGAAATTACTTTGAACACGGCATAATGATTGGAGATGTTGAATTAACCCTTCGTGGGGATTTCTATTTTTATATTATCGATTTAAAACTGTCCTCTTGGCTTGACAAAAAAAATTAGCGCGATAAGGCTCATATTGACTCTAGAAAAGCTTTTCAGATTTAACCTCGAACACACAGCAAGTCGTTGAGAGTTTGGACTTATTAATGAATAGGTTCTATAGAGAAGACTTGAAGAAAATGTTTGAAGAATGTAAGAAAAGCAGCGAGCGTTGGAAAGCCTGTGCCGACGGAAATAAATGAAAATACAGAGCGACGGAAAGCGCCATGGAAGGCAAAAATGGGGGCGGAGCGACGCGGCGCGCGGCCAATTTCTAGGAATTGACGCGGTGACTCACCCCTAGGAATGATGACGAAATTGAAATATATTTCAACTAAACACACGCCTGTTTTTAGGCTTTGGCGGGGTCCAAAACAATCGATGGTTCGATTCGTCATCGCCTTTTGTATAAAATGTCCGTCAGCCCACCACATTTCCTCCACCTTTTGTTCTTTGCTTTTTTCCTTCCTCTATCTTTCATTATTAAAAGTACGATATAACATTTAAGGTCTGAAAGTGTTGGAAAATATTTTTTTAGAGCTCAAAAATTCGATTCCTAGCAGGAAGTGTTTTTTTTTTGAAGCTGAAATTGAAATTCTATCTGTAAACATATCAAAGGATCATAAACTTTCAAATATACGACCTAAAAAAAGGCCAACATTTTTTTGAAGAAGGTGGCGAAAAAAATATTTTTGGAAATTTGAATATATAAATTTTTTTTAAGTTCAATATGTTTGAAAAAAATGCGTTTTTTTGGAGATTTTTTTTCATGCGATGGAGATTTTTCCAAAGAGATTTTTTTATTTTTTTCAAAAAAAGGATTAAGCACCCCGAATCAATGCCTTTTTGTTCTAAATAAAATTTCATACGTTCTATATTTGAACTTCAACTAAATTGAAAGATTTCCTAGGCAATTTTTTTTCCCGTTAATCTTTCATCGATTCTCGTTCCATTAGAAAAACCTTTTGGATCGAGTTCAGACTCGTTTTTTGGCGCCGCCGAACCCCCAAGAATCTCTAATCAAACAGATTTCCCACTCTCATCCAAAAGTAAAGAGGTTTTCAGAACTAGTTATATCTTTATTTTCAAATGTATGTATGAATACAAATATACATCCTTTGAAAGAATCGAGTTGGACGTATTAAGTGAGGCCCCGCCAAGTGCCATTCAAGTGGAGAGAACGTCTTCGGACAGACGCGCCTCGGATAAAATGGAACATGGAAGATATTCTTTCTCGGCTTGGTTTTTTCTTAGTTTAGTGGAATTTCTGAATTTTCCTACTTAGTTTAGATTCGAGTCTTTCAAATTTATGATCCTAGGATAAGCGGAAACATTATCTCTGACTTTTAATTTTTTTTTTTTTTGGATTTTTTCGAACCTTTAGAAAGTTTGGACTATCTTGTAGATTATGGAGGGCTCATTTTAATTTTTGAAAAAAACGAGCATTTTTTACGTGAAAGTTGGTAATTTTTTTTATTTGAACTCAGCACATAAGTTTTATTTATGTCGGGTAACCCGGAATTTTTTTAAATTATGGACTTTGTTGAAATTCCTTTAAAAAAAGGGATATTTTTGTGACTTTTTCATATTTTTTCTAAAAGTAGGCCAGAAAAAGGAAAGGACATGCCGAGGCTGACAAATTGGTCAGCCTACGCATGGGCTACCTCTTGGAAAAGGCGTTGAAAGATCAAGTTTGTTACTCGGATCGCAGCCGCCGGTTCTCTGTCCACCTCAGGCAACAAATCCGAAGAACTGGCGCTTTTTTCTCGTTCGTTCATTCTTCTTCTTCTTTCCAACCACCACTCGAAAAAGCCCAAGAGGCGGACGACGATTAGCAGAAATCGCAACGGACGAGGCTGTGAGGAGGCGGCGGCGACGACGGCATTCGCCCTCCTCGATCGCCGCACTCTCTCGTCTCCCCACGGTTTTCGGCGAAAAGCATTGTATCTTTAGCTGGAATTTGTTTTACAGAGCAAAATGCCGGGTGGAGCCTCCTCCCGCGGCCTCGGAAGCGACCTCCTCAGCCTTCGCCTATATAACCGCCCCTAGGTCGACGAGTTGGAGAAACTCTTCGACTCGGCCCTTCGCGCTTTCTTTTCCCTTTATCCTCATCTTCCATTTGGCTTAGCCTTCATATTGGTTAGGTGTTAAGATTCTCAGGTATCATCCTAAGCTTAGCTTCAACTCGAGCTTCATCTTGTTCAAGCTTGAGTTTCAACAACTTGAAGTCTTCACTAAAGCCTAGAATAGACCAAGAAGATGAACTCAATTATATTTTTAATCCACTGAGCTTGAAATTCATCTTGTTCAAAAGTAGGGCTAGGTCAAGCCAAAGAGTCAACCAGCATTTTTGCATTGGAGCTGCAACTCGAACATTTTTTTCAATGCTCAAGTTCAGCTGAGTTAAAAGGGAGCTTTGCTCGCAGAAGATGTTTGACAACGTCTCTTCTTCACTGTTTTCTCCACGAATTTCTCATTTTTGCTCAAGATTTCTGAAATCTTGCCTATGGAGTCGTATTTCTCCATAACTTATTGAATCGTCTTATGGCTTACTCTTTTGTTGATCAAGAGTCGAAGTTTGAAAAGATGGCCAAGTCTGGGAGGCAGTAGCTCGTCTTTTTCGAATTTTAGCATCTACTTGGCTTATCAACTTTATTCGATTCCGTTCAAGTCAAGCCTTTGAACTTACAATTCTTTGTAGGCTTACAAGAGTTCAGATTCAGTTCATTTTTATCGGATTACAGTTGAGGATGGGTTTTTTTCTTTCTCGCGAAAAGTTTGCGCCTTTTGAAGTTTTTTGAAGCATAGTAAGTAGCGAACCTGAACCTTTTTTGAAGCAATAAATTGGACGACTTCTCAAAAAATGCATACATCAGTTATCGAATCTAGGACTAATAGAGACAAGGACCTATTTGGTTTTTCAAAGAAACCACATTGAAATAGAAACTATTTCATTTTTCTGAGCCTGGTTCAAAGCATTTGAATGTAGAGCTGACCTTCGATTTTTTTCTATGGTTTTCAAACGAACAAAAAAAATAATTTCTCTATATTATTTATTCGTCCTTCCCGCTCGTTTTTCTTTAGCTTGACCATCCTCATTACTTTGAACTTTTACAGGTATTAACTAAATTCAAAGATGTGCGACGACGAGGTAGCCGCTCTTGTTGTGGACAATGGATCCGGTATGTGCAAGGCCGGCTTCGCCGGAGACGACGCTCCTCGCGCCGTCTTCCCGTCGATCGTCGGAAGACCTCGTCACCAGGGTGTCATGGTCGGTATGGGACAGAAGGACTCGTACGTCGGAGACGAAGCTCAGTCCAAGAGAGGCAAGGCTCGGAAGAGATTCTGATGATAACTCGGTCTTTCCAGGTATCCTGACCCTCAAGTACCCGATTGAGCACGGTATCGTCACCAACTGGGACGACATGGAGAAGATCTGGCACCACACCTTCTACAACGAGCTCCGTGTTGCTCCAGAAGAGCACCCCGTCCTCCTCACCGAGGCCCCGCTCAACCCCAAGGCCAACAGAGAAAAGATGACCCAGGTAGATCTGCAGCCCTGGAACCTAATCCAAGAAGAATGCTGTTGCAGATCATGTTCGAGACGTTCAACACCCCCGCCATGTACGTCGCCATCCAGGCCGTCCTCTCCCTCTACGCTTCCGGCCGTACCACCGGAGTCGTCCTCGATTCCGGAGATGGTGTCACCCACACCGTCCCCATCTACGAAGGATACGCTCTCCCCCACGCCATCCTCCGTCTCGACTTGGCCGGCCGTGACTTGACCGACTACCTGATGAAGATCCTCACCGAGCGCGGTTACTCCTTCACCACCACCGCTGAGCGAGAAATCGTCCGCGACATCAAGGAGAAGCTCTGCTACGTCGCCCTCGACTTCGAGCAGGAGATGGCCACCGCCGCCTCCTCCTCTTCCCTCGAGAAGTCCTACGAGCTTCCCGACGGACAGGTCATCACCGTCGGAAACGAGCGCTTCCGTTGCCCAGAGGCCATGTTCCAGCCCTCGTTCTTGGGTATGGAATCCGCCGGAATCCACGAGACCTCTTACAACTCCATCATGAAGTGCGACATTGATATCCGTAAGGACTTGTACGCCAACACCGTTCTTTCCGGAGGAACCACCATGTACCCCGGAATCGCCGATCGCATGCAGAAGGAGATCACTGCTCTTGCTCCCAGGTAAGCTTGAGATCCTCCAGCTCCAAGTACAACTGTTTGGTTTTTCAGCACGATGAAGATCAAGATCATCGCTCCCCCTGAGCGCAAGTACTCCGTCTGGATCGGAGGATCCATCCTCGCCTCCCTCTCCACCTTCCAGCAGATGTGGATCTCCAAGCAGGAGTACGACGAGTCCGGCCCATCCATCGTCCACCGCAAGTGCTTCTAAGCGCTTCGCTCCCCCAAAAATACCATCTTTTTTTCGCTCAAATTGTCGCCAAAATCTTTCAGACCCCCAATTGGCATCTTGCCAAAGACAATCGAAACCCACAGAACAACAACAAAAAAAAAATGCAAAAAAAACCCAGACTCGAAACTTGTGTGCTGTTTTCTTGCAACTTGGTCATGTCGCTCAACTTCGGGTGCTAATAAAAATTTAAAAATTACGCAAAAGAAGAAGCTTTTTATGGGGGATTAAGTGTTGCCGTTTTTGTTTGCAAAGGTTGTACGCACTCGGCGAGCAAATATAAGTCGGAGATTCTCGGAAAATTAGATGGGAAGAAAAGATTTTCCTGGAAATCGGGAGCAATGTTTGAGTGGCGCTCTTAAGATGTTCTCGGGCAAAAGAACTGTTGCGTTTTCCTAAGAGAGAGAGAGAAGCTTGGAAATGGGTTGAAGGTGGTTTAAAAGTTGAGATTTTAGATCTTCATAGTTACATCAGAGTTTTGTTTGAAATGAAGAAAACTCTCATCAGATGAATTTTTTCAGCGGCACGGGAATTTAGAATGTACTAATTATAGATAAGAAAAAGGAAATTATATTTATATCAGATCCTGAGAACCGAGTCTCTTTTTTGCCGTTCCCAAACTTTGGTTTTTTTTTAGAATACAGCGTTTCAAAAAAAAAAGTTATTCGCTGTCTCTATAGGAGAAGGGAACAGGCTTTCACTGAAAAAAATATTCAATTCTTAGTCTGAAATAGCCTTTCGAAGCTATCTTTTGCGGTTCAAGAGAAGTTTAAATATATGTCACCATATTTATCTCTCTTTTTTTTGAGAAAAAAGGAAGTAGAAAAATTGATATTTATAGGGGTTCTAGATGCCTTGAAAGCCCACATTCACTTGATTCTGTTTTTAATAGGCGATTTATAAAAAAATATTTTCAATCAATTTCAAATTAATTTTTTTCACTTAAAACGATTAATTAATTTTTTTCGGAGTACCGTGTAAAACTAAATTTTTCAACTTTTAATGCTCCTCGTCAACTTCAACAAACTAGTTCTAGCTGGACCTCAAAACCATGCAAATTGAAAAGATTCCAGTGCCGAGAATAAAAGGTAATCGTGCCGATTGTTATTCATTTTTGAAAATAATAGATTAAAAAAAAGCTCAAAAAGAGGCCAGACCTGGCTAGGGAACAATGTTTACGTGATAATTTGAGTATTTTACGGACTCAATAATTCGAAAAAAAAATCGATTGCCAAAATTTTTATTCTTGTTCTTCAATCCGGAGGTCCTACGGTACATTTGAGCAAAGTTTCATCAAAAATTCAACCATAGGGTGAAAAACGTTCCCTAGTGAGTTGAAACTTATTGGTTTTCCTATAAAAAAAAAATCAAGGATCGATCCTAACCCAGAAAACGAATTTTACTAAAAGTTACCAATCTCCACTTCCTTGTTCTATTTTTCAAAACCACTCCAACGGAATCCCATACAACCAACCAACCAACACGCGAGTTCTAATTGTAACACGTTTGTTGGTTGTTGGCAGGGAGCTGCAGCAGCTGCTGCCGTTGGCTGTTGCGCAAGGAGAAGCTGTAATAACAGCGCCGTCGGCGGCGGCGGCAAGTGCGGGGGTTCGATTCTTGGAATCCTCCTTGAGCCGTGGATTGCTTGTGTGTGTGTTGTGTGTGTAACAGTGCAGCAGGAGCCATTCCTTGAAGACCTCCGCCGAGCTTCTTCTTCTTTTTCGACAAACATTGGCAAGTGCCGTGCAGAAATTTGGGATGAAAAAAAAGAGATTGGAGATTTCTGATCTGATTGGATGGATTAAAAAATAAAGAGTTTATCAAAATTATTGAAGAGATTCGGAATAAAAAAAGAGCAGAGTTTTTTTCAATTTGATTGGAAGATAACAAATTGAACACTTTCAAAAGTTTGGTGCAGAACTTGGTTAACAAGAGATTTAATATTTATGATTTCATGATAGGTTAAAAGTTTTATTAATTTTGAAAATTGGAAGGAGTCATGAAAAATGAAAAATACCGTGGAAGAGCACTGCGAAAAAAAAATAAGCTCAAAAAATATTATCTTGTTAAAAAATTATGTGACAGGACGCTAGTTGACCTGACCTCAATGCCATATGTACTATCATGTAGGCGTGCCAATGGCACGCCGCCTACTTGTATTGTCACTCTTGCGCTCAGCACGCATACCAACTGGCGGTGCTGAGTTGCTCTAATAAAGATCCAAGAGCAATGTCGGTTCTACACACATCTAAATAACACGTCAAGGCCCGGTGAAGCCTTGCGCGGTTATATGGAGGTTCCACCGTAGAATCCGGCTGCTTGGACTAATTCACCTATTTCATCTGTTCTACCTCGTCCAACAGCCGCCTGCAGAAGCTACAATCTTCTGCAGGGAACTCGACCTATTCTATTCCGCTAGCAGTTTTCGCATATCGTGTTCGGGATTCCAGCGAGGCTACAACTCTCTTCTGAAGCTGCTCCAGTGAAGCAGTGCACGAGTCCGGTCACAAGCAACGTCGACTCCTCCACATTGACAAGTTTTTGAACTTTTTCACCGCGATTTTGACCCCTTTGTTGGTACGCGATACACGGTTGGGATGGTGGGATGTGTAGAGTGATATATATCGCCTGGCCTGTGAGCCCTTTTCTCGTCGATGACGACTTCAATCGCTAGTTCAATTGTGTTGAGAGTTTTCCGTGCTTGTCTCGTTTTATTTTGTTGTAAGCCCCCCGATGTAGTTTACAAAAACTCTTTTCTTCGATTTCCTTTTTCTCATTCAATCTTTGACCGGATACGTCCTTTACCTTGTCTTTTGATTGGGTTCCTAGATAAATAAGTGACGTAGGAATCGTTGTATAAGAGTCTGCTAGTGCTTAGAATTGTGTTGTAGAACCGATAGACACGTGGATTAACGAACCAGAAACATCAAAGTGCAAGCGTTTCCCATTTTGAATAGAAAAAATGAACAGAATCGAATGGAATGAAGAGGAACATGTTTATGGTTATGTGATACATTGGGGCGGCGCCGAATTGGGTCATCAATCGCATTTCAGGGCCGATCTTCGTTCAGATATCTTCTCGGATATGTTCTCAATGACTCAAGCCGTTTGGAAATTAGGCAAATGACACTTATCTGCTTGGAAAAAAATTAAAGAAACATTGAACATAAAAAAATTTTTCGGAATTAAAAAAATCACGATGACTCGAAAATGTGCAGACACGTCGACGCAAACGTCGAAAAATTGAAAAAAATTTTTGGGAAAAAAATTAATTATTTTTCAAATTTCTTGTTTTCTTTTTTTCTTGGAAATCAAACGTTCATTGTTGTGATATGGATTTTTTTGACGAGAGCTTCCGAAAAACGACACTCTCTACGGATTCATGTAGTTTGAGGTTAGTTTTTCTAGAACAAATTAATTTTATCCGTTTTTAGCAAACCATCGAAGCTTTCGAAAATGCTATCCAATGATCCCGTTTTCTACATAAAAGCGACAGCTTTGATCGTTTAAATGAATTGTATAAAGTATTGAATCCGACAGTGCAGGTCAGTTTTTTTCACAAATCAATCTCAAATTTTTTTTCTCTGACTTTTGAAAATTCAATTGAAGGTTCATTGAAACATAAAAAGACCACGATCCCAGTTCTCATTCTCCTCATATCTATACCGAGATAGAGAAGAATGCGCGGAATTCTCGCATTCCAGACAGTTTGCAATGAGATCCCGAATTTTTCTCATTTTCAAAGCGAAATAAAGAAAAAAGTGCCCTTCCGGTTCGCATAATTATCTCGTGCGAATTATTATATCAAAATTAAAGTGTGGAATGAGAAGGAGAAGATGGGGCAGTCATTAACTTATGCAAAAATAGACTGGAATTGGGAAAATAAAAACGAACGAATAGCACTTCCAGTTGACTCAATTTTTCGTTTCAAGTTGGCAAATTTCTTTTTTTTTCTACTTTTTCATGAAGATTTTGTATGGAAAGTCAAAGAAAATAGAAAAAAATAATGTCGAATTTTAAAGGCAGATAGGTTGAGGATTACATTTTTCCAATTCAAGGATATATTCTTTTTTTACTGACTTCTTGGTGAGATAAAATTTGGGAAGAAAGAAAATTCGGAAAATCTTTACAACCGTTTTTTAACTTATTGTTTTCAGGAGAGTTTTCATAATCTTTCGAAATCTTCAACAATTTCTGGGCCCCTAATGTTGGATTTCTAACCGTTCTCGTAAAATATCCGAACTTTATTTTGGCGTCATTTTCTGCGTAGCTCAACATGTTCTGCATATTTCATGGATTCTTTAAATCGTGACGGGAGAATCGCTCTGAAAATATCTGTTTTTAGCTTCTTCTTCCGGGTTTTGAAAAAAAGTTACAATTTTATGAACCATTGAAAAAGAGCTTGTACAATAGGATTCACACTAGGAAGCTTAATTAAAAGGAAATTAATGAATCGAAGAAAGTTTTTGAACTTCTGAAGTTTTTTTGAAAAAAATAATAAGCAATTTTTCATAAAAAAATTGTGGCTCTTATTAAAAAATAAACCTCTTGTTCTATCTATTTATTTTTATTGTTCCAAGATCATCTCATAGAATTTTTACCCAGTCTGCAGAATTTTTCTAGAAAACTGCTCTCACACCTCAAGTTTATAGAAAACCAAACTTCTAATCAGAAATAGTTTATTGAGTTTATCGAATATTGAGTTAGCTGGAAAGTTATGTCACCTTTTGACGTTTGGAAAATCATTTATAAGTGGTCAAAGATTGTAGTAGAAATTTTCTAAAATAAAATTTTTTCCCCCATTTACAAGTGAATTTTCCTTTTCTTTTTTTGAGATGAACAAGTTTTCAAATTGAAGCTGACTATTGGAGTTTTCAGTTCACCTTAGTCCAAAAACTTTTTCAAAAAATATTCTCATTGGAAAGTTGTTAGTCATAAAAATTAGTGATAGCGAAAACTTTGAAGAAAAAAAAAAACGAAAAAAACCCTCTTTTTATCATTTTTCATTCGAGAAAAAACTTTAGGGGCAGAAAATGACAACTTTATAGTTTATGGACTACAATGTTCTCGACGTGATTTGGAAAGAGTGTGCGAAAAGAGGAGGTTCACATGTTCCGTTTGGGTCAGAATTCCACAAAGTTTCCATAATAAGTTGAAGAAATGAATTTGCAAATATTTAAAATTGAAGTGAGAGAGGTCAGGAAAATTTTGGAACGAAGTGGGGCCCATGAACAATTAACGAGCCAAGTCCACTTCAATTCCACTTCATCCATGCAACTTGGCCGCTTCCCAATCCCTTTATTTTTATTCGTTTCCCAATTATTTGCCTCTTTTTACGGATTAACAGGATTTGAATATTTTGATTTTTCTCTTGGTCTTTTAAAAAATATAGTTTTTTTCATTTTGAAATTCAATTTTCCAGTTCTCATCAGTTTTTCTTGATAGATCAAGCTCAGATCTCACTAATTACGGAAAGTAGTGAACTTTTTTTTTCAATTTTAATTTCCCATTAGGTTATCTTCAAAAAAATCGGGTTCTAACTGAATTATCACAGAAATCACTTTGAGAATCAGACTTGCGAGCTTCCCGCTCTATTTTTCATTCAAAAATGACGTGAAAAATCCAAAAATAATGCATTTCCTACAGCATATCATTTCTGAGATGGAAAAATAAAATCTGAACTTTTCCTGATTACAACATGTAAATGTCAACTTCTCGAAATTTTCCTGGTTCTGCAAACTTGGCGGCTTGTTTTGGTTCAAAAAGCTGAGAGACCTTGAAATTAAAATCGGAAGTTCTCGCGGAATTCACCTGGATTTCTGATTTTCGGTTCGCTATTCTTTTTTTCACGCTTTTTTTAAAAAGAGATTTCAAAGTTTTGCAAGATTGCAGCTTGACTTTCAAAGAGCTGTACATCAAAAAGGGAAAAGAAGCGAAAGAAAAAAACTCTTTTTAACAATTCAATGTTTGTATGAATGCTATGTTTGTATGAATAACTGATTTTTCCTTAACTTAATCGTTTTTTGAAGATCATTGAAACAGCAACATTTAAGAGAAAAAAATAATAAAAAAAATGAACGTCACTCAGATTATTGCTTTAAAAAGCTCTTCATAGCTTTGTGTGCAGCACATGAAAAATTTATTTAGTAGCAAAATCTGAAAAAAAAATTTAATATATCTGAAAAGAAACTTTTTACCCATTTTGGTTGAATTTCACGATCTCAATGTCATTGTAGTCTTTTTCTAACTGGAATTTCTCAGTAATATTTAGGGACTTCATTTTGAAATTTCTTCCAGTTAACACTCTTTTCCTTGTCCGATTTTATATCGATATCTGTTTTCGATTCAAACTTGTCAAAATTTTATACTGAATCTATCAAAAGTTTAATTTTTTCTAGTGGACATTTTTTTTGCAAATTTTCCAATTGAATTGAACGATTTGGCCCCAATAAAAACCCATCATCAAGTTGCCTCCTCCTTGTGTTGATTTTAATTACTTTTCTCCCACTTTTCTACTTTGGTCTGCAAACGAAACATCTTCCGAAAGATCAGACCGTTACCTGGCCAGAATTCAAAAATCACACACCCACACCTTTTTTGATGAGGACTACATTATTTTTCTGGTTAACTTTTGGAAAAAAGCCATTTATTGAGAGAATCCTCGGTTATGTAAGGATTGTGGTATTGAAAACGCTTTGTAATTATTTTATCCCGTGATTTTTGAGTAATTTTCCTAAATCCATTTCTTCCTTGAGATAAATTTTTCTATTCTCGGGCTTGACGTTCAGCAACTCTCAAAAAATTTTCATGACCAAAAGCGCCAGTCGTTTTGGGTCGGCCGCGGTAGAAGAACCCTCAGCTCATAAAAGCTCGATATAAGGCGAAGTGTAGTATAAAAAGTTTTTCACGTTCCTTGAGATTGCTGAAAAAAAAGCGGCCTGAAAAAAATTACGGCCGCTCAAAATGAAAAAAAAGCCGTTCCAAAAGAAATACTACCGCCAATTTTAACACGACCAAGAAAATGAGCTCGATTGAGCTCTTTAAATTTTTCACAGACTTTTTTGTTTTTTTGAGCACAGATTTGAGATTAACGCAAAAACTGCATCTAGAAAGCATCGGCTTATTTAGAGGTTTCGATGTAAGCTGAGAAGTGTCCCTGACCCAAAACGAGTTGCGCTTTTGGGCTTAAAAATCATTGTAAGTCGTCTGAGAATGACGCCTCGACACATTCCAAATGCGACCATTATATTTATACGCCATGCAACAGTTATCCGACTATATCAGGAATTGGTCTTTTACTAAATTTCTCTTCCCTCTACAGTCTCAACCCGAGAATAAATTATAATGTCTCCGAGAGACCAAACTTTCATCTGACCAAATTTTCCCTTCCGTCTTCATTTCGACAAGAAAAAAAAATCCTCCTGATTAACTCTAATGAATTCACATCTCGCAATTACACCCGCCGACACTCCTGATAATTAATTAGTTTATATCAGTTGTTATTGAGAGGCGATTTATCACCTGCACCCCCACACACACGCTCGATTCACGCGAAGAATATTGGGAAATATCACAAATTGGATGTTATTTCCTAGAACTCTGAAACTTTGGGC